TCCGCCCAACAGCTGCATATCACACCTCTCCTCTCCGTCCACAGCACCCGCTCCAGCCAATGTCGCCCTGCCAGAACTGTTCAGTGATTCCTGATTTTCAACAGTTAACTAAAATTAGTCCGTATTGTGAATTATGAAAAAACGTCGAGTATTTCCAGTTTTCCTTACAATTGATTGATGAACAAAATGAAAAAAATATCGTTTTTTTTTTATAGTTTTTCCGTTCATTAATGTGAGGGACATTTATCCTGACAATCGAATAGTTATATTTCGATTTCGATAACAAATTCATAAGCCTTAAATGAAGGGATTCTTTAGAATAAATGAAATACAGCTAGCAGTTTTATTTCAGACTAATTAGCAGGATATATCTTCCTATCATGGTTGATTAACGCTATAGGATATGAACATGGTACCTGTAGCTTCAAATGACAATAGATTATCTCTTGGGTACTCTTTATCAATACTCATTATTTGTATCTTGATCATAGACAAGATAAGTGAAGTTGTCAATGCGTTCGACTACTTCACTCCCTATCCTTAGTTCAGGGGTTGACGTAGACCAGTCCAGAAGCAACAACTTGCATTTAGAGGGAGAGAAGCGCATCCCAAACATTCTGGCATTGTTGCTTAGTGTTACCAGAAGACTCTGCATTTTATCAGCGTCTTCACCGAACAGGAATATATCATCTGCGTACTCCAAGTCGATAAGTGGGCCTCCTGAAAGGAGATCAATACCCGAAAATTCATATCTTCCTTTCTATGAACTAATTTTTTCTTCTTGTACTATATCCTTATATTCAATCTTTCTTTTATATATTACCACCACTGAATTAACTACTTATATGAATCCGGTGTTTATCTTGTTGCGTTAATGTGGTATGGCAACTTGGACCGATGCATATATGTGTCTGGTCCTACGTTGTAGCTGACTGACTGATATTTAAAAAAATTATGATAACAGAATAAACAAATTGTTATTAGTCTCCAGATATTAATCAACACACAAACACAAAAATTACAGAGAGGTAGTAGTTGGTATTAAATTTGTGATAAAAAAGGCAAATCAATGTATTTTATGGTGAAATGTACATAAAACTGATGTTGTACTACAATCGTAATCTGAACATAATTATTGTAGAATTACCTAGTTTCTATAATGTATTCTAATGTTTATTTCTGTTTTTTTAAAAAAAAGGAATATATTTCCTATATATAGTTCCGTTTATCATTTTGAATAGAGCAAGAATAAAAAGATTCTAGTGGAATAGCATGAATAAAATTTGATTTCATCTGCTTCTCGTCATCAGATAGCTTACAACCTGTAATATTTAGAAATCATTCATTACATAATAGGTTTAAATTATTTACATGAGACGGTTTGGTTGGAAGTTATATTCAAGACATAGTAGTATAGTATAGCAAGAGTGTAAATAAACTGAATACACTGAATTTAGTAAATATATATATATATATATCTTATGTGAAAAGACATTCTACAACATTGATTGTGCCTACAGTTCAAACGACCAGAAACAAATGATTCCATAATGAGTAAACATTGATAGGAATAAACTGAGTATATGGTGTGTGCTACTTATATTGACGTAAGTAGTATATTATCAGAATGAGTTTTGTGGAGATTTTAGGAAATTTCACAGGTTGAAATCATGAGTCAGTGGAAGCTAGACCACTATTGAAACCTGGAAGCACTGGACGGCCGTTTCGTCCTGGTATGGGACTCCTCAGCAGTGCGCATCCACGAAACCGCCCCCTCGGGATTCGAACCCAGGACCTACTGGCTTCACGTGCAAGCACTAACCATTAGACCACTGAGCCGGCACCTAACGGTATTAATGTATAACTTCAACCCAATGCTTCCAGGTTTTCAATGGTGGCCTAGCTTCAACTGACTCATGATTTCAACCTGTGAAATAAGTAGTATATGATGTTAGTCGTGATGAGAATGTCTGGCAACAGAGGGACAAGAGGATAGAACAATAAAGAATGGAAACAGAATGCAATTTGTATGAAAATGCAAGAATAATGAAATCTGCATCATTATGAGACAATTGATGGACATTTTGCAAATTACATATTTACTATTTGACTGTTAGATTTTATTAACAAGTCATTTAATTTTGTGTTAAATACATTCGATTGTCCCCATTCGTATTCTGTAGAGCTTACAAGTAGAGCTTAGTTGATAAAATAAGTTTATTAATTTGGAAGGTAGTTGAAATAAAATCTCAATAAGCGAAATGACGGAATACTTCAGATATGTTGATGACACGTTTATTGTCTGTAAGAAAAACCAGCATACAATTCACCTATTAGAACTCTTCAATAATGATCATCCTAATACACAATTTACTGTGGAATACAAACAGAATGACATATTACACTTTCATCATATTGCCATAAAACGTAGGGCAGACGGGACAGCTCAACATTCGGTTCATCGAAAAAGTACTCGGAATGGAGTTTACCTGAATTTCAATAGTTTTTATCCAAACAGTTACAAGAAAGCGTTGGTTAAAATACTATGTTTTAGGGTAGAATGAATATATACCATCAACAAATTGGAATAAGAATTGATGAACGTTGAAAAATGCCTAAGATACAACTGCTTACCACAAAAGTTTATTGACAAATATAAAAAACAAAAAGAAAACAAGACGGAATAATTACGGTCAATAAAAAATCAATATCTATAAATCTCAACTTCAAAGCTAATGAACTCAGAAACGCAATCAGCAAGAAGCTGAACACTGCATTAGTCAGAACTTACCCGTCAGCCAAACTATTAATTCTGTATAAAACAACACAATAAATAGCTCACCCAAGGGTTGACAAGTACCCTTTTCATATTACCGCCAACTATATTTATAAATTTACATGTACTTGCTAAAGCAACTATATTGGCCAAACAAGAAGGAACGTCTATCTTAGATTTTTTGAACATGTCCCAGAAAGCCTCAGAAAAAGAGAAAGAAAGAATCTAAACAGTGCAAACGCCAAACATCTATTCGGAACAGGACATCAAATATTCAAAGTGATTAGTAAGCAGCCAAACTCCAGTCTTTTGAATCGACATTGATCTTACGATATACGTAGCCCTATAGGAGTAGGTGAGCTAATCAATATCTGTGTCATATTCTAAAGATATTCATCAAATTATCGCCTTGCAATGAAATTTATATTTGAAGTTAAAAACCGATTAAGCATCTAATTTCTAGATGTTGAACTGTCAAAAGATAACTTGATGGAACTCCAAGAAGATCTATTTTCAGAAAACACATTTACCAAGATTTCAGAGCTGGATCTTTATTATGAGAAAAGTGAATTGTATCTCTCTCTACGTAAGAGTTCGCAAACACAATGTCTTAATAAAGTATTAAACTATTTAAGGAAAATATTGAATGATAGTTGTTAATCGCAAAATTTGTTGATAATAGTATAAAACACAGACCACTTAAAGAGCCAGTAACCCATATACGAAAGAAAATCTTTTATAAAGACATATTTCACGGGAACTTTACGTTTTCGACTAACTACTGTTCATTAAATAAGCTATCATATCTTAGTTAGGTCAGTTAATCTATTGATTTTACAAGTGATAAACGCACACTAGAATGATGGATTAACAAATAGCTGAATTCATTCAAACTTGCTGGTTGACTGGATATTTAAAATGGTAAGTTATTATCAATATGAGGTCACTAACTTCTAGTCTGAGCCATGTTGGTAAAAGTAGACTATTTGGTTATGGTCCAAGCGACTATCGTAGCCAGAGGTTTGAGACTCTGTGTAACTTGGCTCAGAATCGACCACAATGGTATAGTTGTATAAAATTTTTGTCTTCTCTTAAACTGTGAGATAAAAGCTACTTCCTCCGTTTTTTTTTACGAACGGATTCTTTTTTCCTGTATCATATCCGACTATGAAATCTTTTTCGCTACCATTAAAGTACCTAGTTCTGTGAAGTTGGTGTTCATCTAGTAATGTTAATAAAGTATGGTAAGTTGTACCTATGCATATATATGTGCATAGTCCTACGTTGTAGACGACTAACTGACTATCATTAATATTAAGGATATCATTTAATGAATACTTGATGAATAAAGCATTATTTTTCTACAATTTTGCATTATCCTGTGCATTAGCGTAACAGTCTCATTTCATTACAATAAACAACAATCATTATTTAGTTTATATCATAACACAGATAAATCAGTGTTGTTTTTCAAGTTATTACAGTGCTGATTTATAAGGTAAGTAGAAATTTGTCAAAGACAGAAAGGTTTTCATCTTTTTAAGCATTATCAAAACGTTTATCAGATATTAACGAAGGTCATTCTTATATTGATAAAAAGGAACTATTCAACATTTGGTAAATTAGTATCAGAAGAAGGTTTTGTGGATATTATAGTAGTTTTAATAGTTGAGATTATGAGTCGATGGATGCTAGACAACCATGGAAAACCTAGAAGTACTAAACAGCCGTTTTATTCTATTGTGGGATTGTTCACAAGTGCTCATCCACGATCCCGTCTCATGGGAATCGAACGTAGGATCTATCGGTCTCGAGTGTGAACGAATAACCGCTAGACTACTGAACTGGCCGGCATCCAACGGTGTTAATGTCTAACTTCAAATAATCCAAGAAAATGAGCGACACATCCACCATTATTATCAGTGAGTTACTATCTCACAGCTGACCCGACTGAAGTCTGCTGGTCACTGTTTCTCACTAGAACTTCAGGAAATACTTCTTGAAGCCAATCACTAGTGATCATACGTCGATAAGTATCAGAAGGGGGGGTTTGTGAATATTATAGTAATTTTAATATTTGAAATGATTAGTCGTCCACTGCTTCCAGGTTTTTCATTGTAGTCTTGCTTCAATTGATTCATCGTCTCAACTATTTAACATTTAATAAATTGTTTATAATTGACATAAAACCATATTTCTATGTTTTGTTTTTCTAATATTTCAGTGGAGAGATCAATTCTACAATACCAACATTTGAAGATCATGCTATTAGATCTATGAAACGTGTTACAGATAAAGTACAACAAATTATGAATATTGATCAATTAGATAATAATGTTATAAATTCAATTGATTCTATTAAATTATTACCTCCATTAGCTAATAAAATCAATATCAATAATCAATTAAATTCTATCAATACATCACCTTTAGATATATCTCAATCATCTGTAACTAATTCAAATCATAATAATCCTAATAATTCATCAAATACACAATTATTTTCATGTTTACAACAAATTTTTTATTATTTTATTGTAGCTTTTATTGTTTATAAATTATTAATTTGGTTTAATTTAAAACCAACTTTTGGTTAATCAATCAATCAAACAATCAATCATTCAACCAATCAAAAAACAAGAAAATAACCACACACAAACACACACACACAAAATGATCATATACACAATCTCAGGATACAACAACATCAATCATTATTGATTATCGATTATCATCGATCTTGATCATCATCATCATCAACATCGATCATCATTGATTTTATGAAATTTTGATTCATTTAACATTCTTTATTTTACATTATTGTTTAAAATGATTTAATCATGAAATTATTATTATTAGATATTGTAGAGTTGGTTTAATTTCCCCACCCACCCCCCGAAGACAAATCATTATATCTATCTATCTATCTATTCCTTGTTATAATTGTTCATTACTATGATTGTTTTCTCGAAGAAAAAAGAAAAGAAGGATAAAGAAAAGAAAAAAAGAAGAGGAAAAAGAAAAGAAAAAAAACAAATGTCGATTTCATCTATTCAATATTCATTCTTTTTAATGTATACATAATTCAATGATTACATGAATTACTGATTATATCATTAGTATATTCACATTATTATTATTATTATTATTATTATTATTATTACATCATATTCCTTAACTTGAATTCAATTAATTCCTATCTATCTATATATATGTATATGTATATGTAATATACTAAATGGATCCTATTTTCAAAATGATATCTATTTTATAATGATACTTATTATAACAATCAGATAAATCCATGAAATGATTGTATATTTAACATTCATCCCAAACATATCTAACAGTAACATAAAGTGAAAAGATGATGAAACATAACTATATATATATTTACATAGATATATATTACATAGTTGCCATAATTGAATCAATTCAATCTTATTCTTATAATCATGAAGGAAAGAAACATATCGAAAAAGAAAATCTGGTGTTGATTCGCTCAGAATAAGACAAAACAAACAAACAAATACCTAACTAGTTTGTATCCAATTCAAATGTCTTCTTTCTTTTGTTGTTTTCGTTTTCTCTATGAATGTGTCCATATTGTCATGAAACAGATGCGAGAGAGAAAGAGAGACAGGGGGAGGGGAAAGAGATAAATGAATCATTTCACATTTCAACTCTATTTTTACCCTGCAACATCATCATCAACATCATGTTCATTTCCCTTCACATTACATATACATACTTTGTCTTTGTTGTTGTTGTTGTTGCTGTCGTTATTGTTATTACTATTCATCAATTGCATAATATTTTTCAGATGATTTCAATGATAATCATTTAGTTTCTTGACAATTACCAGTAGTATTGATTTGGTGATTATTTTCGTTTCTCTTTGTGAAAAAAAACCAAACCAAACAAATTCATTTATTATTTTTATTGTAATTTTGTTTTTAATCTCTTATTTCATTTCAGAGTATTTTATCATTTTTTTTTGTGAAACTAAACAAAGTCACCAGAAAGAAAAGAAAACAGACCATAATAAATGAAGCACAATGATAATCATTAACTATTTGGAGAGATATTCATAATAATAAACTATGGAATAATTTTCCTAATCGATAAAACTTTCTTTGATTACGTAACAATTCAAATGATTAAATAAATGAAATTGAATTGATGTTTTCTGTTTAATGATAAAATGTATTGCATATCATTTCTGTACATGAATTCAATATGTTTATTTGATATTAGTTCAATATTATTCTGATCATAATATGTTGTTTATATATTAAGATAGTGTTGTCGTGAACGAGAACATAACCGGGGACAATCGAATGTATATATTTATGAATACAAAATTACAGAATGTCTTAGAAGAATCTGCGGACCATACAATAAACAATTCATTAGCAATATGCCAATTGGTCGTCTCAGTCTTCATTATCCCTTTGTTTCCACACCGATCATTCTGTTCTATATGATCGTCTTAACCGTCTTCCGTCAGGCATTTCACTTTTGATTGATGATACATACTATTTATAACTATTGACATCAGTAGCATACATTACAATGTGAGTTCGAATAATCATTATTGTAACAAACTGACATCAGTTGAACAGACATTAGAAGTTAGCAAATGTCCGGTGCTTTACCCAAGTTGGTGGACACAAAGAGTATGAACTAATTATTGGTGATAGGCTACCATGGGACTGCATCTCGTGATGTTGCTCCTTTACCGTTGTCAGAAGCCAGCTCAGTGGTCTAGAGGTTTAGCGTTCATAAGCGAGACCGATAAGTCCTGAGTTTGAATCCCACGGGCGGGATCATTGATGCGCACCAGAACGAAACGGCCATCCAATGCTTCCGAGATTTCCATAGTGGTGTAGCCTCAATTAACTCATGAATTCAACTATTAAATTACAAGGTTATCTACAAAACCCTCTTCTGATAACTTATTCGTTAGAAATTCGAGTCATCTGACCAATCACATGAACTTATCATTCGACTGATTTATGATTGGTCTAATGTATTACAAATTATTCTTAGATAATTTTAAATTACGACACACCAGTAACAACTGTAGACGTTGGCAAAACACTGTTACAGTAATTAATTTACGAAAATAAGTAAATGATAGCTGTGTCATTTAGGATTTAAAGAGGTAATTGGCTCACGACGTATCTTTACCGGTTTAAATCTAATGGTTCTAAAGGTTTTACTGAAATATATCTTGAAGTTTTAGAGTATTGTACCAGAAGAAAAGTTTTTATTTCTACTTAGCCCAATGTTATTTATTAATGGAACTAAATGTATGAGAACAGTTAATTTAACAGCAAGAGATCCCTTCTTTTATATAGTATATTCACTGTTTGCCATATGGGGAAAAATAGAATTTTATGGATTTTTTATTAATCAATTCCATATGTTGATTGATTTCTATGTGTGCTAGTAAACTCTTGATCAGGCTTATTTGTATTTCTTGATCAGTTAATTTAATCGAGTGTATGACATGTACAACTATTGTGGTCTATTTATTTAATGCATAATTTGGTTCTGAGTAACATTACTCTAAGAATGCTGTTGCCACTGGATGTTACTAATTCTTCAGAGAAGACGATGCTTGATTACCGAGTCGCTGAACATACTCAACTCGAAGCGGCCAGGTTTTACCAGCATAGTGCATAAACTGCTCTCATTGGCTAAATCCGACATTTTATTACCACACAATAGTCACAACAATGTCGTGAACGATCTAGATTGTCATGGAACGTTTTGGAATTTATTAATAACAGAGTGATTTCAACTACTCAGATAAACGACCTTTTTGACTACTTTTAACAGCTCTTTACCAGGAGTATATGCAGACACAGGCTCATGTAAAACTTGCAGGAGTACTTTGCATTTAGAAAGTACAACGTAAAATGTGTATTCACAGGAACTGATTACCAACTGATTATATGAGTTTTGTATAAGAAGCAAACTCCATCACGGTCAAATTAAGTATGAACGATAAACAAGCCATATATACTTAAAGGTACAATGAGTAACAAGAATACACAATAAGCAGTACAAAAGCCAAATGTAATTTTTTGGCAGGACAAAGAAATAACATAGGTACTTATCATAAGATGATGGTTGGAGGTAGTCAATAGAAACCCTAGACCTAAGTTTTGTGCCGCTTAGCACTCGTCAACAAGGTGTACCTGTAATCATGAGAGAACTGATGCTTCCTGAAGGATTCGATCCCGTGCCACCTAGCTTCACAGTCAGAGATGTTACCACCCCCAACCAACATCTTATCTCACCATAGTGCGCGCAATGTCGAGTCACCTAGACTGGTGGCCACATTGCAACCTGGTCGATAGGATTCGATCTGCACTAATATAGGTAGCTATCGTTGTTATTGATACGGCAAGTAGACTCAAAAACGCATTATTTTGTAAAAAAAAAGAAAGATGACGGGGAGATCAAAAGCATTCCTATAAAAAATCCAGAGGGGCCTTGAAAACACAGAGAAACATCTTGTCAAATCAGTATTGAATAGTAGTTCCTCAGGAACATCTAGGAAGTGAAGAGTCATGTGCGTTTACCTATCCTACCACGATGTTTAGTATGATTTCAGAACCTTCCAGAAGTCTAAAACCATCTGGAATACTATTAATACCCTTGATTTTCTGTGTATATAAGCTAACCTTTGAGTAGAGCACTCTTTTCAAACTTCGCCCATTTTCTTTCGTGTTCATGTTAATGGGTAGGTTTAACCTGAGGTTTATTAAGAAAGCTTAAGGAACTGATTCAATTGTTCAATTAGAAGACTTAAAAGTTATTGATAATAATTATAATAAAACAAGAGGTTACAATAAATCCATCCTTTATCCCTTCCCTCTCTCTCTCTCGAGAAACCCAATAACTAACAAACAAATTAAATAAAAACAATGAAAAAAATCGAAATATTCAACAATGAATGAACATTAGAGACATAATTATCACCAAAAAAGACAATCTCTAGTAGAGAACCTCGTCAAAAATAATTTCATTTTTTCAAAAAAAAAAAAAGAAAGAAAATATCAACGAGACTACAAAAAAAAGAGTGTTGAAGTGATCCAGAAAATTGCTTGCAAAAGACAAGCAAGGATCAGGAAACACTAAGAAGCATTTCCTCCAATCAGCATTCATTTGAAGTTTTAGCCAAAAATATCAAGGAAGTCAAACATCACATGTAAAGGTTCTAATTGACTGATTGCCATACTGCTATTATGTTTAGTAGCATTGCAGAATCTTCGAGCAACTCAAGGATATTTAAAAAAACATTATAAAAACCTTATATCTTCTGTATTGAAATAAACATTGGAGTAAAGTACTTCTCGCATACTTTGTGTCTTCTCTCTTGTTGTTCAAGTCGCTGTATAGTTCTAGTTTGGGGATTACAGAATAGCTTAAGAAACGAATATAGCATTCAATTTGCAAAACTTATCACAAAGAAAAAACAAATCAGAATTGAAATAAACACAAAAAAGGAAAAAACAAAATTGGGTTAAATAACATTGAAAACAAACAAACAAACAAATGAATGAAAATTACTATTTAAACATAGAATATAACATGAATTGTATTCATAAATGTTACTGTTAATGTAATTAATTGTTTCTGAGTGTAAAGGGAATTATAGATGGAGAGAGAGTGTGTGTGTGTTTGTGTATGTCACTGGTGGAATTGGTGGTGGTAATGGTACTGGTACTGGTACTGATGATATTCATCTTATTTATACATAATAATGTTTAATCTATACACAGAAATTAAGCATTTAGATCTACATATTTATTAAGATATTTGAATATAAAGTTGAATAAATTGAATGTTTAATGCTCTGACTTATTTTCTATATGTTGATATATACAATAATTTAAAGGTATAATACAAATCAGGGATGATAATAATAATAATAATGATCACTTTATTGAATATTAAACATTTAGTAGAAAATGGGGCATAGAATAGGGTGTTAGTGAGTGAGTAGTGCATCACTACTTTTCAATGTTCAATATTTAACATTCAATGAGTAAACATAATTTCTTCTTACATGTTTAATATAGAATTCATAGTATAATAATTACGAGGCGAATAGGATTGCATATATATATCATGTAGTACTTTAAGAGTACAAAATAGCGGTAAATATGATGATAAATTCCATATTTAAATTGTTAAGTTTATAGTGTCTGGTACTCTATATCAAGATCATATGGAGTATTCTGACTTCGGAACAGATTGATTTTGTTCATTCTTTTGACTTTGTTAATTATTCGCTTGTTAACTTTGACTGTTTTTATATATGTGTGTTTTATGTGTGTACTACTTATCCTATTCATCACATATCTGATTATAAATATTGATTAAATCCAGTTGACTTGTTCACTTTCTCCGCTTCGCTTTCCTATTTCTTATACTTAATGTTTGTTTAGATAAACAAATGCTTGAAATAAAATTTATCCAACACAACCTGTGTTTGCCTTTTTTCTTATTACCACCGTCATATATATACGGTTAGCCAAGGTAATATACGAAGTTAAAATGGAAGATACATGTGCATAGTATATTCGTATATTCATCCAAATCGGAGTCATCATCAGCGGGTCATAACCGAAGAGATGGGGAAGTAGATCAAATTGTTTATCTTCATCTTAAAGATATAGGTACATTAACATTGATTACATTGTCATCATTTTCATAAGTGGATATATTCTGATTGGCTTCATGTAAATTAATATATACATCAGATATGTTGAACAAAACAGGGGTGAAGATAAAGTGTAGGGTACTTTGAATGTTTGATAGAATTTACTGAAATAACTATAGGGTATACAATATTTGTTTATTGTTATTCATGAATTGAAACTTTAAAATTCTTCAATATGATTTACTGGAAATAAACCTTTTTTATTATTCACTTCACCATACCACCAATCCGAGTTAACTTTACGGTAAATACTAATTATATCACCTAAAATAAGAGAGAATGATACAAGAATGTAAATATATAAATATGTAAGAAAACAAAAACCCAGTGTCATATATACTCTATTGAATTCTATTAGATTATGGTTTCAATATTGACTCAGACAGTCAGCTACAACGTAGGACCAGGCACATATATACATCGGTTCAAGTTGCCTTACCTCATTAACACAACAAGATGAACACCGGATTCATAGAATTAGTTAATTCAATGGTGGTAAAATATAAAAGAAAGATTGCATATAAGGATATAGCATAGAAAGAAAGAATTCGTTTGTGGAAAGAAAGATATGAAGCGATTCTAATCTCGAAGTATAAGGTAAGACAGAGTATATATACACCGACGCCATTGTGATCGATTCTGAGCCATGTCACCAAGAGTCTCCAACCATTGAATATAATAGTCACGCAGATTCCAACCAAGTGGTTTGCATCTACCAACATGGCTAAGACTAAGAGTTAGTGACTTCAAGCACTGATGCCACGTTTTGGTTTGGCCGACCTTAACTTACAACCATCACCAACACTAGTCAGCATTGTGCGTCATGGTAATCGGTGATCAGGCATACGTAACACGTTGCCCAACTATCTCAGTCGATGAAGATTTACAACCTGATCGACTGATTTACAACCATCCCCTAATACTCTGCATCTAACCTCACTATTACTTAGCCGGTGATCCCAGTAGATGCGAGCAATATTTCTAAGGCATCTGTGGTCAATGCTGCTTACTATTCTCTTATTCCGGTTCTGCACTAAGCAAATAAAGAACAATTGTTTTTGTCAAAATTTTTAATGTTTTTATTCGTGATACTTAGCTAGCAGTAAAACACTAGATGTGTTTTATCCCATTTCCAACTCGTCAGCTGAGTGTACTTAACTCATTGTAGTGGTAAGTTTCACACTGATGATTAGAATTAAGGCACCTGTTACTTGAAACAGAGCCAAATCCAACTGATAAACAGCCTTCTATAGAATGAAACACACTTATCAGATTGCATTACTAGCTACAAACAAATAATTCTATAAAAAAATCTTGACTGAGAAGAAAGGTTATATCGAGGGAAACTGTCCCAACAAAGACTGGTCAAAAATCAAGGCATGAATATCAAAAACGGGCTGATTCAAGCCTTTACTAATATTGATAGTAGTGAAACTTTCATATTTTTAAAATCCATTTTATATAGTTTGCTTGATGTTTAGGACTGCAATTGGTCAGTCTCTTATTAACATATGTGAATCCTGTCCGGATCGACTCAATATTGCCTTAAGTCATAAGCATTATAAGCAAAGATAGATGGTAGCTAGCAGTGGAATCTAGGATGTGAGTTTCGTCCTATTTGGGACTCGTCAGCGGGATGTAGCTTCAATCCAGAGTTGGTATTTATTTCAGGACTCTAATCCAGTACCGTTCGCTTCAAGCGCGATCGCATTATCCAATTATCCACTCAGTCCTGATAGCCACTAGCTCGTGAAATATGGTGACGTTTTTTGAATTCATTTTTTATGGTTTGTTTGAATATTTCCATTGATTTTAGAACTGTAATTGAACAGCCTCTGGGTTCGAGTCCCAGAGTGTACATCAAGACTTAGACCCAGGTGCATTCAGCTGATGAGTGCTGAATAGGACGACATGCATATCCTAAATTACACTGTTAGCTACCATTCATCTTTGCTAATAATTTCCATATTTTGTCTTTCATGTTGCATATTAACAATATGACTTATCACAACGGATACACTATGTACTTTTCAGATGATTTGACCATCAATGACAGTGTCAAAGTATTGTATGGCTGTTTGTGTTTTATTATAGGAGACTCCTAAGTGACAGTGTACCTTTTCATAAATCCTTATATACTAATTTTAAAAAAATCATTGGTATTTACTTAATAGTATTTCAATAGTTGAAGAGATGACAACTACAGTTAGAGGAAAATGTTTGTCATTGTATGCTTTTATTCACAGAGATATCGGTATGTTATTCAACCGGTGACTGTCATAGTTAATCTATTAGTTTCATTTACATAAAATATGGTACGAAAGAGCTCCGAAACTAGTATTCACCATACCAGAATAATTATGTGTGCTAGCCGGAATGTTGTTGCCTGAATGAACAGAACAAGAGAGGTAGTTTACTTCACGATAGCCACTCTCTGACTCATCCAACTAAAGGTCCAAAGCATAAAGCAGTAGAGCGTCTTCAAGGAATTCAGTTTCAGGATAGCAGATGGCTAAGAATAAGTTTTTACGCCATATTCTCCCTCAAATACCTACAGCCGAAGGACACCACTGCTTAGAAGGTAGGATTTTACACCTAGTATCTACCGACCCGGTTACAGAGCCGCACATGTTGTTTACAAAAGTGAATGGATGAAAAATTATTTTTCATACAGCAATAATAAATGAGAATATATATATATATATATATATATATAGAGAGAGAGAGAGAGAGAGAGAGAGATTACCTTCTTCTAAATGAATTTCAGTGGGATTGCGAGGTAGATAGCTTCGTTGAACTTTGGCCCAACCTAAACAATGCAAATTGGAAGAAGATCCAACTTCTAGATTCAAATCTGAACTGTTTTTCTCTAAATCATAGTTATCGGTCACAATTGAATCAGTGTGAAAATGAACTGATTTACATGAAGAACTAGGTTCACTATCCATGGAACCAGTATTACCTGAATCAAGAGAGCAAGAACTATTTGGAATGTTAACAATACGTAAACATGATGGTTCTGATATTTCAGATTTGACAATTTCTTTTCTAGATGACGAATTATTAGTGTTGCGGTGAGATTTGATATTATGTTCAGATTTTTTATGATTAGATTGTTGTTTGTTGTTAGATGATCCACGTAATCCATGGCTGAGACGAGACCAAAATGAATTAGTCTGTACAAAGAATTTAAAGAAAGCATATATATGTATATATAAACAGCGAGAAGACCAAGAATGGCAAGACTAGAATTGATGGACGAATCAATCAGTTTTAGGATAACAGATCTTGGATTTCGGCACGAAACTGATTTATGCATTTGGCTAAATAGCATTTTCCACTTTAGCTGATGTCAGTTCGTGATGAAAACCCTAAATCTAATTCCGAACCCTAATCATCAACTGTAGATCACAATCCTTATTCTTCCCACAGGTTTATAATCCTCATTACCAAGGTCATTTTAGCGTCCTTCAAATGTCCATAAATTATAGTCCCACCCGAAGAATAAATGTTTTAATATTACACATACAATTAAATATATAAAACATGTAGACTGTTGTGAGAATTCAGTTGATTTGTACAAAACAGTTACTAGGCAGTCGTTAAAAAAAACATAATATTTGCAATAGTGAGTTTCAAGTGCTTTTGGAAGAATGAAACTTAAAATAAACAACTAGATGGTAGATTCAACTGAAAAATTGATCGTCCAGATATAAATAGTATGTAATACTAATCTGAAGAAGAATGCCTGCTAGCAGAAGATTGAATTGAAGAGAACAGTAAGGGAAATAGAGAGCATTTGTAAAAGTAACAAGATTGGAAGAATCATGAAGCCCGTACAGGATAACATAAGGAAAATGTGTAAATAATGTACTTGATGTATGGTTTTCATACTTTACGAAGGCACTCTGGAATTTCGCATTAAACAATAAACTGGTTTCCCCCACCTGAATTTTCATTCACTACAACCAGATCATCAGTATTCATGAGACTCCCAAGATAAGTGGGGCGGCTAATGCGTTCACTATGTACCATAAATTTAGGCGATGGCGCAAGCCAATCCTGAAGTAACATTTTGCATTTGGAGGGAGAGAACCTCATGCCAGACATATTTGCATTGTTGCTTAGAGTAGTCAGAAGACTGCAGTTTGGGGAAAGTGGACAACTGTGACGAACACTATTTGAAGAAAACGATTCCGATTACAGTTTGTCTTAAGCTCTGATTCGATTAGTGGTGTCCCAATAGAGAGCCTGTACAAAGTTAATGTAACTATTTAGTATATAATTCAGTAAAACACTGCCACAGTACCCCACGATCAATGGAGCCGAATGCAACCATAAGGTCAAGGAATAAAACTATAGTCGGACACCTTAAGGTATGTCTACGTTCCAGAATTTGCCAAAGTTTAAATATTTGGTCAATACATCCATGTCTAGGTTTGAAACCACCATAGTTTGTTCTTCACGAGCTGCAACTAGACTTCCAAGTATTATTGAGGTTAATATTTTAGACACTATATTAGTTAAACTCATTCATCTGTGATTATCATAAGAGGACTTCTGTGCTTTCGTATTAACTGAAACGTTAAGTGATTGAGACCAGTGAGATAGGATTACGTCCAGTTTCCAGAGTTTGGCTAAGATTTCAGTTCATCTAACCGCTAATACTGCACCAAAATCTTAAAAAATCTCAAAGGATAGCCCGTCAGACCCTCCTTCACTTTAGATTAATTATAGTTTGTTCAGCCTCACTTAAATTTGGAGGGTTTACATCAGTTTGTCATTCAGGTTGCTTGGACAAAGTGGGTAACTGAAGAGTGGCTGAAAGCCAGTTGAGTTATTTCCTAAAGCGTTCTGCCCATCTCCTGAATTGAGATTGAGTAATAGTCCCATCTTTTCCCGAGATAGTTTCACAAACAGATGGGTTTCCAATACCCGTTTTCTTTATACGTTTGAACAGTTGTCTACTGTTACTTTTCGCTTCTTCTTTTTTCATCTCTTCTTCCGCTACCCACCACTGCTCACGACCATTACGTAAGCTTTCTATCAGCCTACATTTAAGTTGCCTCGCTCGTTGTCGTGTTTTGAACCCGACGGAATACGTTTCCAAGATCCCGACCAAGTAATCTACATCAATCTCAATAGCTTAGATCAATAATCAATAATCATATGAGCCGATCCGACGTTTTGGTTTGAACATCTCTAGCTTTTTTTTCCAAACAAATCCTACATCGGCTAACATCGTCTGTTGAAGTAGATGGTTGTTGAGTCGTAATAATAACAGCTAAACTACAAATTGAACAGTAATATTTACTTCTTCACATATTCCACAGTAAACCATAACATCAGTCTAGACTTGAGTTGAATATGGCCAAAAAAACAATTCATAAAAATATATGCACAAAATACATTACATGTAGTAAACTTAACAAAAATGTTACCACTACTACTGACTGTTAAAACTTCTTTAGAATTTTCAGTGTTCTCTGATGAAATAGATGATGAATAAGGAACTGACGATATTGATGAACAATGTTTATTTATAGAATCTTCAGTATCAGTTTCATCAGTTGCTAATGGTACAATTGGTTTATGAGAATTTATTGAATGATCAAGTATTGAATGTCTGGAAATATTGTCAATATTATTTTTAATGGTACCTATACTACTGTTCATAGTAGTAATATCAGTTCGTTCAGATTGAATTCTGCAAATTTCAGGTGATCGCTTTCGAGAAACTTCTATGTTGGAAAATTCCTTGATTATAGAGAATCGTTTATTGCTTTCTAATGATTTATCATTATTACTTATATCAATACTATTACCATGAAAAGGTTTCTTTAATGATTGATTAGATTTTTCCATTATGTTACTATTAAGTATATTGTTGGTTGATGTGAATGTAACTGACTTTTCTGAACATGTAACGCTTCGTTTAATTGGAGATTTAAATTGTTTATGCATTACTTCATGAGGTACATGTTGGTATTTATCAGTTATAATATTGTTATTAGATGTAACAGTAAAATGTGCACGACTCAATGTGTTTGCATTGTCAGTATCATTATGACTATCACTATTACTATTATTCATACAGTCTAATATCCAAGATGATTGTGATTTAAGTTGTTCACGAATCTTTTCAATATCCAATTGAAATATATTATCGTTTACATTTTCATGTGTTATATCTTCTAAAGGAAATGGAGGCCATTCTAAAGAGAATATAAAAGAAAGAACAAATAACAAGTAGATTTTGCAAACATCTAAAGTTATGTGATGATACAGTTTACTAGTAACTGATAATATTTAAACACTGAAGTCTAGAAAGTATTAGACAATTCTTTTGTTCTTGGTCAAAAAGTACTTATTTATTTAAACATAACAACATTGGTACAAGGGAGTATCAAATATATATGCGCTAAACTTCAACATTCGATTTGTGTGAGTGCTGGGATACTACCCGGGCAACCAAACAGAATCAAGTGATTTTCTTAGAGGGCCACTCTCCGAGCCTTTGACCAAGAGGTTTAATCCACAAGGCAATGAAGCAACGTTAAGAGATGCAGTTCCATGGTAGTTGGTGACCAACAATAGGTTCATACCCCATTTCTTTCATCAGTATCTTGGAGCCCATGTGCATCACTGATTTAGAATTAGGGTTTTCCAACTCTCCTAGGTGAATCCTTCATATCCACCATCCTGGGTAAAGTGCTGGATATTTGCTTTTCGTCCTCTCAACTTCGTGAAAAACACCCGCCGTGGGAAGGACCTCCCTGGTAGTGGCTGCATACGCGTGGCCATGTGAGAGCATTTCTAGAGGGAGAGCTGACTCTCTCATATCTGAGCCGTACCAGGACATTTGGGTACAACAACTAAATGTATGAACAGATTTTGGACTAAATCAGTGATGTTTGATTATTTCGGACAACGAATCCAATTGAACTGTTAAAACATTGGCGCTAATGTATTCTCCTCATCAGTTTTTATCCAGTTATATTTCCAAATTCTGATATCTGAATCAACAAACTATAATGTATACTTTTTCAAATAAGCGTAAGGATTACAATAGGACAAGATCTTAGTCATTCATACGTAACATTTAACCTCGTAAATATATGTATCGGTTCGAATTATTACCCCACATTAGAACACCAAGATAGAATCATCAAGACAGAATGAAGAGTGGTCGAAGTAGTAGTAACAGTATCAGTGGTAGTAGAAAATTATACGTATAAACAGCATGATCCAAGAACTAAAAAGTGAATTTGCAAGATGGGAAGTATACGAGAATTTTGAAACTGAGGATTTAAGGTGAAAAAAAAGTGAATATATGAAAATTACTATAGATGATTTTGTGTCATCTCACAAAAATCTACAACCGTTGCTTACTATAATTTGGCAAATACCAAACAAGTAGTTTGGACAAACCTATATGATTAAATCGAATTCTCAATGAGTTCATGGACTGGTGCTGTTTTGTTTTGAATTACCCAGCTCACTTCAAATATACTTTTACATTAGTCAACACCATGAGTCGAGGTAGATGGTAGTTTAGTATAACTAATACAAGTCTCAGCCAACAAAAACGATTTAAGTTAAGCATTACACAATAGAAATAGGACATATAGCCACCTGAGTAATAAACCCTATCTTCGACAGCGAGCAGTCATATTTTTAGTATAAGGTTGTGGATGGTTGCAGAATTTTGTGGATTGATTGAGGTTAGATGTTAACGCCATCGGATACCGGCTCGGTGGCCTAGAGGTTAAGCGTTCACAAGTCAGACCGAAGGTCCCGAGTTAGATATCGAACTGCAGAGTTGTGCATACTCACGGCCGGGAGTCCATACTAAAATGAAACAGGTGTCCAGTGCTTTCAGGTTTTATATAGCAGTCTAACTTTGATTGCTTCATGATTCAAACAGAACGCTTATATGTCCAGTCTTTTGTTTAATGCTATCAAAGATAATTGCTCCAAAAACTTATGATTTCTAAACAACAATTGTTTAAAATCAATCCTAACTGACATGTCACAAATCTAACGAACCTGTAGCTATGAACAACAAAATTGGTGAACAAGTAACATACATCATAAGTGAAGCTTATCTATTGTGATTTCTCTACGGAACTGATGCTTTCTGTGAGACTATAATCTGGATCATCCAGCTTCACAATCTGAAGTGAGAGTCCTCTGTCGATGATTACCACCCTCCAGCCACTACCTTTCATCTTAACATAGTTCACTTGATGTCAGGTCAAATTGTACTTTGATCGGAATAATTCAATCAACACTTAAAATGACTGCACAAATACGACTACGGTCACCACTTAATGAGGAATCAGGTGTAAACAGATTATTTTCCCGCTTTGAAACGTTTATTGAGTTAACATGTACAAAAAAGAGAATTTATGTAAAGCACAAAATTACTTAAAGAGCAACCAGACTAAATGGATCTTATAAGAAAGAATAATCGGATGGCAAAGTCCGATTTTTATTACAGGTAGAAATATTTGTTTGTTCAAAAACAAAACAAACATCAAATACGATGAAAAGTCATTTGAGTAATGGAAGATTGAAGGTTCTTTAAAAATCAATAACTAGTCGGTACGATTAAGCGGCAATTAAATTTGACTTAAATTTTGTCAGTTAGATCAAATACTACTAAGAATTGTCAATATTAGGTTGTGGAGATTGTTGAATTTCATTAAAATCATGTACCGCTATAAATTAGATCACTGTTGAAAACCTGGAAGCACTGGACGGTCGTATCATCTCAGTATGATGGGGTGTTGATTGACGTGCCATTATTGGTTAAGAACAGAGACAGTCATAGAAGTCAATATTCTAATCGGCGATTTTGTTACGAGATATTTGACAGGCCGATTGAAGAAAAGTATATCCAAATGAATAGTTGTGTCAAATACTATTTACTAGTGTTGATTTTTACACAAACATTAATGCATCTGTAATAATTGATAGAGCTCAAGTGAGACTGGTCATTGAAAAGTTATTAAAATATTACAATTTTTTATAAATAGATATGGATGATGGCTAGCAGCGGAATCCAGGACTCGATTTTTTCCTATTTAGGGCTCATCAGCTGGATGTACCTGCATAGTTGATTTTCACTTCAGGATTTGAACGCAATGCCGTTCGCTTCAAACGCCATCATGTTGTCCACTTAGCTAAGTGTAATGAACATCAACTCTGGTATGTAGGTACATCCAGCCAACGAGTCCCAAATAGGACGAAACGCGCGTCCTGGATTCCACTGCTAGCCACCATTCATCTCTGCTTTTAATGCTTGTGGTTTAAGGCAATATCGAGACAAACTGCACAGGATGCACATATGTCAATAAGAGACTGATCAATTGCAGTCAAGTTAACAATACCAAGTACATGATCGTTTCCTGAAATGACGTTTTATTCATCATGAAAGACGAACTGTCACTGTTACGAGCCTAAATATTTTTAAAAAAAAACAAAAAATAAGATTCAGTACACCAGACAGTAACTTTTAAAACAATGAAGTTTTTAAAAAAAGGGGAGTGATCTATTAAAGGCAATTCATTGAAAGAAATGTCAAAATTGATCAATAATTCTATTCATAGAAACTTACCCATTAAATTTAACCCATGATTAGTTATTCTATCCAAATCAGGTAAGCGTATCCAACGTGATGTGATCAAATAAGATTTCTTATCATTATTATTGTTATTATTGATAGTTTTAGTGTTATTTAAATCAGAACATATACGTGAAGTAAGAATCATTTTGGAAAATCCAGCCTGTACTAAAATTGAAGATAATTCTAGGTTTTCCGATGACAACGGTGAAGATGATGATAATGAGTTGAAGGTTCTTTTGTCTGTTTCTATATTTTCAAATGAACTTGAATGAATTTGTTTTAAACTATGCGTTAATTTTTGACGACATAACAAAAGATAAGTGAGACGTACACGTGAGAAGTATAAACGATGACGTGATTCCATAAGTGTATCTATATCGGTATAAGCTGGTTGATGAGCGTAAACTTGGACTAAATTCGATAAACCTAGAAAAAGACAAAAAGACGATGGACAAGAATAAATCATGGGTACATAGTGAAGCAAGTAATACATAAGTACTATCTTGCAGTCATTTGATGTATTTTTCAAGATAATAATCCTTTATTTAATAGTTAAATGAATTGAAATTTGATTGAGTTAAAATTAACCTAAAACTTAGTTGTAACAAATTACAACTGTTAACTAATTTTTGGGAAGGTAAGTGTTATGTTTGAAGAGGTTACAAGATCACCTAAAATCGGCGAACGAAAGATCAGCAACATAACGATAACACAAGCTAAACTATTATGATGCGTACCAGACCTGTTAACTAGAGGGAGAAGAACAGGTTCAGATGAAGGAAAAGTACATTCCACAAGACCAACAACTAGATAGAACTAGAAAGTAAGGCCCAGGACAGAGTGGGTTCGAGAATGCTGGTTGGTAGCCTATGCTCCATTGGGAGTAACAGGCTTAAGGAAGAAAATACCCCAAAGCATGAACAACAACAATTACACAATTCGAGCGTATATATATAGAGCATAAGAATCTCTTTGGTAAATGACACAAAATAGCATAATAGAAGAGAGAACAAATCAATGATATTTAGGGTCCTTTCAAGTGGAAAATACAATTTGAATGTAAAAATGGGTGCTTTTGGCGCTCAAATGAGAAATTCAAACTTCTAAAATAAAGACATTTAGCAAGTGATTTCTGAGGATCTAGCGTCCCTAGAGAGAGGGAGGGATAGTACATACGTATATTTATTTCAAAGTACTAAGTGTTAATAACCATGAGAACTAAAATTACTAGTACTATTACTAATCAACTTGAAACAGAAAAACAAGCATTTTAGTCTACCTATATTCAACTTCAGTATATATAAAGAATTTGAAACGACAAGAATTCATGATAAAACTAACCTCTTTTTGTACGACGTTCTTTTTCAATATCTTTAGTTAACATATCAATTAATGTTAATATTGACGATTTACTTAAACAGTGTTGAATTATTAAACGTAAGCTAACTGGTGATGATGGTGATAATAACGATGAACTGATGAAATTTATGTGAGTATTTTCTTTGCCTTAAAGGGAAAAAGAAGCTGTTAAATTACAATACATTCGACAAAGCTAATTTTCAATCACGTACAAAAGAATAACTAGTATTATTAAGAGTATGAATGTGGTTATCACTCCCTGACTTGCGAATACACACGACCTTTCTGTGAAAAATTTTTAATACACTAGTTTTGTGTTCTAAAAAGCTCAACCAGTGGAAACGGAAATCCGTGGGGTAAGGCAAGGTATGAAATTTTTAGGATCGATCATATGTTATCTAATGCTTTAATTGTCAGCAGATAGTATCGGTGAAGATGCTAAGAGAAACAACTTACTGTCATCACACTTCAGTACAATAAAAAATACGACTTTACCGTCGGACTACGAGCTTGTAGCTTTCTCCAATCAACTTGTCTAGCATAGTAGGACCTAAACAATTGTTTCAACAAACATAGCTCGATCGGGTCATTACGATGCGTATATATAATTTCGCATAATAGAAATGATTTCTCTTGCCCAAGTATTCGTTGGATATGATACCACTAATTAGTTTAAGAGACACTGAAAACCAGCAAGCTCTGAACAGTTCTTTCGTCCTTGTATGGGACTTTTCAGCAGTGCCCATCCACGATTCCCACCAAAAAGCACCAGTCGAGCAGAGGATTTTAAAGTTTGGTGACGAGCACTTAAGCTTTAGACCAGCGAGCTGGAATACAAAGTGATCCAATCAATTCATGATAATCCTCAACTATCTTTTAATGCTATCGGTCCTTATACTTGACATGGTTGTTGCTATGTTGGAAGAGATTACGAGATCATGTAAATCGGGGAAGTGAACGAAGGATCAGCAGCAAACGATAACACGAGCTAAGCTATTCCCATGCGTCCCAGATGTAATAACAAGAGGGATCTAGCATCCCCAACAATTGGACTGTATTTATCGAAGCTCCCGAACAGAACGCCCGAGAATTACGACTTGAAATTAGTAATTAGTGATAGTATGGAGGGCGTGGTCTACATTATGGACAACCACTCAAATGTAGGCCTGACATACATACTACACATTATGTTGAGATGTTACGTACTGATTGGAGATGGTCAACAGGAAACTCTCAAAGTCAATGGATCGAGGATGCGAATCTGTCAGAAAGTACTAGTGTAGTGTGTGCTACTGATTTCGACAGGGATAAGTAGTATGTATCACAAATCGAAAGTGGGATGCATGGCAGTCAGTCAGCTACAACGTAGGACCAGGCACATATATACATCGGTTCAAGTTGCCTTACCTCATTAACACAACAAGATGAACACCGGATTCATATAAGTAGTTAATTCAGAGGTGGTAATATATAAAAGAAAGATTGCATATAAGGATATAGTACAGGAAGAAAGAATTAGTTCGTAGAAAGAAAGATAGGAAGGGATTTTAATCTCTTAGTTTAAGGGAAGACGGAAAGTGTATACACCGACGCCATTGTGATCGATTGTGAGCCATGTCACCCAGAGTCTCCAACCATTAGTTATGATAGTCACGCGGATTCCAACCAACTGGTTGGCATCTACCAATATGGCTAAGACTAAGAGTTAGTGACTTCAATTACTGATGCCACTTTTTGGTTTGGCCAGGTTACGTGTTGAGTAACTATAATTACATACTTGACTAACAAGAATTCTTAAAATTCTATGATCAAATTTAAACCAAAGCATGAAAATTTACTTCTGTCAACAGATGTTTGAGATTTTCTTCTACATATAATATTCAACGCCTGTGATTTTGAGGATGGACTAGATGGACTCTGATGGAGTTGATTTTGTTGTAGTAACACATTTTCGCATGGTAAATCGATGAGACGTTGAAGTGAGCAACCAACATTCTTTGATTTTATGGAACTATCAGTTTGTTTGTTCATTGAATTTGTTGATTGTTGTGGTGATATTTGAGACAAATCTTCTTGATGGTGAGAACGTTGTCGGAAATTTTGTAAATCTAATAATGGATCAGCTAAACTGATAGCATTCTATAAAATGGAAAAACTTAAAGACAAGATTCACATTTCATCTACAAACTAATATGAAAAGCTATTTTTTTAACCTTCATTCACCAGTGTTATATACCGATGAGAATAATGAATGGGACCCATTTATGGACCAATACTATAGGTATATTTTTATCGTATAATAGTTGAGTAACTAAACTATTCATATTCGTGTCCCTCTTATTATGAGCTTTATTTCGATCTATAAACTGTTATTATACCATTTACCATTCTTGAGTTATACCCAGTTTATCAATTACTACCCCCCACATTCCTAGCCATATTTGGCTAAATCTTGTACAAATGTTGTTTCCTATTTTATGGCACGATGTAGTCTGTCTGGTTGGTATATCAACCCAGTATGTTTGAAATAAATTATTCATATCGCAGGGGCTGAGATTGGTGTTCTGGACTTAAGAAGCAGAGCTAGGCGGGAAGCACGACCGATAAGGACTCTAGACTGATCGTACGGGTTTTATGCGTCATTGGTCTGGTTGATAAATTACTGTTCTCCAATTGGCGGTATCAATACGTCATACATTAATAAAACACAGGGCACAAGTTATAACATCCAGGTGCTTGAGTATGCGGCGCTCTAAATCTGTAAGGGCTAACGTTACTACTACTCAATTATCCAAACCGAAGAAGGCAAAAAGAGGTTGGAACCTAGGATGAATTGTCTGAAAGCTGAAGGCCTAGATCACTATGAGCTCTCATGTCCAAGTTGGTTGCTTCTCGTTTTGATGAAGCCTTTTAACCTGAAAGCAAGCGTAAATGACATCTACTGGAAATCCAATTGGTTGCTTCAATATTAGACGTTTCATTAATAATATATTCAGTATGTACGTAGAGGAATGTAAAATTGATACACTAATAGCATGATCACACAATTGAAGTTGATTTAGTGGTTCAGGCATACAACCTTACAGCTGACAAGTGTTCCCAAGTTCGAGACCTGCCATATCTACTCTGGTCTTGGCAAACTGGTAGTGTCATTAACCCCTACACACTTAACGTGTCTCATATTCAATTACCTGGGAAAGTAGTTAATCAATATTCTTTCTGTACTAAAGAGAGATTAAGTGAGATGCTACAGGATATCGTTTTGAGAATGTAACATTGAAGAGGATATAAAAATTGATTAGAAAAAAGCGAATGTTTTTCACAAATTGTAAATGCACATGAAATGAAAGCAACAAAGATGAAATTTCCATAATTTAAATCACGAACTGATTCCAGTTTAACGGCTAATTGAACACCGGGAAGCACCGGATGGGTGTTTCGTTCGAGTATGGAACTTTTAGGAGACATGTATTGTAAGTACCAAATATTAATTGTTTAGATGTTAGTCAATTAGATTTCTCAGGAATCGAACTTTCAACTGGTTTCCCCGTCAACACTTCAGAAGTAGATTGGATTATTTGAATGCTTAGGATTATCGCGTTACTGATATTTCTGACTGAAATTTGATCAGTCTTGGTTGGCTTATAGGTATCTGTACGAATTGCCTCGACATAGCCGTTACGATACAAAATAATATAGACTAGATAAAATGTGGTTAGAAGTGGAATTCAGGATGCGAACTTCGGCTTATTTAGGGCTTCTCAGCTAGATGTACCTGCATCCCAGATTTGCCATTCATTCACTCAGGCACTCGATCCGAGTACCATTTGTTTAAGATGCCATTGTGTTATCCACCGAGTCCAAAATATAAATAACCATTTCAAATACAACTAAATCACACATCGGTTGCAAACGTTAGTGGCTGTCGGGATTCAGTGTAGTTTAATAGGAGGGATACGTTTCGGTGTAAACATCAACCATGAGGATACAAGTAAATTGAACTGATGAGTCCAAAATAGGGCAAAAGCACAAATTTTCTCGGTTTACACCGTTATTCACAATTCGTATATATTAAATTTTATACAAAATTGTTAGCAATATGGTATTATGCAACGAATAAATATAAATAGAGATAAAGAACAAGGTTTGAAGAATGGAAAATGAAATTGAATGAGTTTAGTAATGCATTGAAGTTGCACTCGTGTTTAGGCATAGGAACCTAGGAATGTGTTCAGAAAACTTAGTAAAAACCATTCTCTCTGTCTTTCTTATATACATGCTACCGCCGGCACATGTAAATTCACAGTTGCCATTAGAAGTGATATCGGAGTGTTATTGATCTATTTTTGATGTTTGCATATTTATTCGACCTTATTTCTCCTTATTGAGTGATTACGTAATCCACTATCAATTAATTCTCTTATCTTGATCGTGATTACTAGTAAATATAACATCACCTGGTTAGCGTTTTTAACTTGAGGATAAACGGAGAAGAGGAAGACTAAAGAACACATTGTGTCAGGAATAAGAAATAAACAATAAAGGGATGAATAATAACTGGAGAGGATTGCCCAAGAATGAGTTCAATAACGAATTATGGTGGGTGGCCTATGTTCCTTTACAAGGAGTAACAGGCATAAGTAATAACATCACATATTAACTCCGTCTGGAGCCCCTCTGCGGCTACTGCCGGTCCCAAACCCGGATAAAGGAGGAGGGTTGGGCATGGGGTTAGTGACCCTATCCCGTAGAAAACTAACTTGCTAAAAAAACGCCAACCAGAAAAATAATTCAAACCATTTAGGTAACATCATCTATTCTACTCTACGTTATCATTACTTCTTAACAAACAAATACACATCGATTTGACCCATGTGTTATTCATACATGTTTGCGTCCTTATTCTTTTAATCTAAACATCACAAACTGGATTATATATTAAACAATCGTTACTAATTATAATTATATAAGCTGTTAAATAGGCTGATTAATTTCATTTTCTATTCTGTAAACCATCCCCTGATACGCCTGAGAGTGGGGAGAGTCCGCTCTGCATCTCGAAATGCTCTCACATGGCCACGCTTATATAGCCTCTGCCAGGGAAGTCCTACTCAATGTTATCTCGTGGCATTACTGTTGTTTACGAAATTGAGAGGACGAAAAGCGAACGTCCGGCGCTTTAACCAGGTTGATGGACATGGAGAGTCCACCTAGGGGAGTTGTAAAACCCTCATTCCAAACCAATGGTGCACATGGACTCCAGTATCCTAAAGGAACAAATGGCGTATGAGCCAATCGTCGGTCACCGGCTAACATGGGACTGCATCTCCATACGTTGTTCCACTGCCTTGTGGATCAGACCTTCAGGTTGAAGGCTCAAGGTGTGACCCCCTAAGGAAACCACCTGCTTCGGTTTGGATACCCGGACAGAATCACAGCCCTCACACAAATCAAATGAGATTTGTGTGGCGCATATGTATTTGGTGTCTCCTTGTACCAATATCGATGTGTTAAAATAAAATAAATTAATTTATCAAAAGATTTAGTTGTATGAAATAAATAACAAAATAAATGAATATACATACAGCTACTTCATTTATAACAGCTTTCCATGTTGGTAAAGTATCATCTAAAGTATTACGATAAACTGTTAAACCATTAGTTAAACTATTTAAACGATCATTTTCTAATATTTGTTGATGATTAAGACACTGAAAAAGAAATTAATAATTATAAATTTTAAATTATGACTTTCACAATTGATTGATCACTGGGTGGTGATCAATGTCATGCTTGTCTAGTCCTTATTATTAGTGCAGATCTATTGCTATCGATCATGTTGCAATGTGGCCACCAGTCTAGGTAACTCGACACTGCGGGAACTATGTATTGAGATTGAGATGGTGGTTGGAGGTAGTCAACAGGAAACCCTGGACCCGAGTTTCGTGCTACTTGACACTCGTCAGCAAGGTGTACCTGTAATCTTGAGGGAACTGGTGCTCCCTGGCGGATAGCTCAGTGGTAACGTCTCTGACTGTGAAGCTGGGTGACACGAGATCGAATCCGCCAGGGAGCACCAGTTCCCTCAAGATTACAGGTACACCTTGCTGACGAGTGCCAAGTAGCACGAAACCCGGGTCCAGGGTTTCCTGTTGACTACCTCCAACCACCATCTCAAATTATGACTTTATAATAACAAAGGTAGTAAAGGTAATAATGAAAAAGAAATATTTAATATGGATTCATGAAGATAGTTGAATTTCATTGAAATCATGAACTGATTCATGTTAAACTACTATTGAGAACCTGAAAGCACTCGATAGAAGTTTCGTTAGAACAGTAAATATCAATGATCACGTACATAAGAATCGAACTCAAGATCTTAGGTATCACGCGCAAACGTATAACATCTACATAAGTGAGCCAGCACAAAACAGTGTTAATGTCTAGCCTCAATCAATCCACGACATAGTGCGACCATCTTCTATTGTCTTTGGTGGGTGATTGCCTCACACCCAACACGGATTAGCTCCACTGGCCACGGTTTCCTACAAGAACTTCGGAAATTTCTTCTCGAAGCTAGTCACTAGTGAGCAGGTGATAATTGTAAGGGGTTGTAGAGATTGTTGAATTTCATCGAAATAATGAACTGATATATTCAGCCTATTAATTTCATTTACACCCATGTCATACTTTACGAATATTTCTTCAATATAAACCCTCTCATGTAAGCAATTTAAACGCATTATGTAATTATTATCTTTTAAATACCACAGGTTGTAAGCAGCTGACGAGAACGTACGAAATAAAATGAATTCATGTTATTCTTCTAGAATCATTGTTCTTGCTCTTTTCAAAATCATAAAGGGAACTATGTGTATGAAAATAAAACCGTACAACGCAAATGAGTCACATAAATATGAATTCGAGGTAAGAAAATAGGCGTGTTGAATTCTTACCGCCGAACACTGTAGTCTGAATTACTGCACAGAAATATAGCTGGTGAAAGTAACCTAGACGAGAAATAACATTTGAACACACGTTCTATACCCCTAAACAAGCATTTGTGTATACTTTCTCTTCATTCAAAAATTAAAATCAACTGTTGGATGTATCGACTTAAAAATGTTATGGGAAGAGAACAATAGTGAGTCTAAGGATTAACTCAGTCCGATAACTATTCACCATAGCGTTCGACTATTTTCTGACAACTTTTATTATTTATTCACCAAATAAAGTATTCGTTCAGATTATTGCTCTTTTCACTCGATCAATCAATTGCAGATCATCTTTTTTATCCTCTGATATTATATGAATCAATGAAATTAAAAGTTTTGGTGATGTGGGGAGATAATCATAATATAGTTTGAGATTTACATATTACCAGTACGAACTGCGTTGTTTGTCATGTTGAATGATTTGTTGATTTGGGTTAAACTCTCACATACATATATGAAAAAACATTGAGTTCAGGGGAGATACTGACGAGGAAATTTTGAAGAAAGGTCTGACAAAATCTTCGAGAACTTTTAGTATTTCCAAGCTTCATATTATCCTTTCCAGACGCCCCATCCTTATTGTCAAGGATACAACCTCACATTGGACCCTATCAATGTGTATTTATAAGTTCATTTGCTATTTTGGAGCAGGTTAAATAAGCTATCCAAAACGAAGTCTTTCTCAAAGCATTTTCTCATATCATCCGGTAGACTATTTTAAATGTAAATTAGCTATAAATACGATTGATGCAGATGTGAAGGCACGGATCGGAAAAGCAAGAGCAGCATATTTACAACCAAAGTACATCTGGAACTCAAAGTAACTGTCAACCAACACCAAGGTCAGGATTTTCAATACAAATGTCAAGACAGTTCTACTGTGTGGGGCAGAAACCTGGAGAACTACGAAAACCATCATCCAGAAAATACAGGTGTTTATTAACAGTTGTCTACGCAAAATACTTCAGATCCGTTGGCCGGACACTATTAGCAACAACCTACTGTGGGAGAGAACAAACCAGATCCCAGCGGAGGAAGAAATTAGGAAGAAGCGCTGGAAGTGGATAGGACACACATTGAGGAAAGCACCCAACTGCGTCACAAGACAAGCCCTCACATGGAACCCTCAAGACCAAAGAACACATTACGCCGAGAAATGGAGATAGACATGCGAAAAATGAACAAGGATTGGATGGAACTAGAAAAGGCCCAGGACAGAGTGGGTTGGAGAATGCTGGTTGGTGGCCTATGCTCCATTGGGAGTAACAGGCGTAAACTAAACTAAACTATAAATACGATTGTACAGCCTGAGTAAATGATATATATACGATAAATGAATTCCCTCTTCTGAGTTTTCTTAAATATGTGATATATGAGTTTAAAAATGTCAACTTACTTTCAAAATTCTTGAATGCCAATCAATTCTAGCTTCTTCAGCTGACAGACATGTTCGATAATAGTGAGTTAGGGTTGTATTATAGGCGTCTTTCAACTACAAAACAAAAATTAACAAACTCAATATTAATAAAATCCATTTTTTAGTTCAATAACATTCGAAGAAATTTGTATACTTCTTAATCAACATGGTGATATTCATAAAAATATTGAGACAGACAGATAAACAGAAAAACAACTGATGAGGATGATTAATACGGCGAAAACTGTAAATGAAGATGGATGGTGGTTAGCAGTGGAATTCAGGAAGCACATTTCGTCTTATTTGGGACTCGTCAGCTTGATATACGTGCATCCCAGAGTTGATGTTCACTCCATAACTTCAATCTAGTATAGTTTGCATTAAACGCCATCGTATTATCCACTTAGCTACTGAGTTCAAATAGCCATTGGCTTATGTAATGGGGTGAAATTTAATTCACTTTTGTATTGATTGCTTGAATCTTCACATTTTTATTTAGGACTGCGATTGACCAGTCTCTGTCTTCCCAGCTAGACACCATCCACACCTGTTTATAAAGCTTGTAACTTTATGAAGATATCGAGGTTTTCTTCATAATTTGCACATATAACTAAAAGAGACTAGTCAACTGTAGTTTTAAACATCAGTGGGAAGATTCAACAAATCATCCACTACAAATAAAAAAGTGTAAAAAGATACTTATAGATATAGAGTCAGAGTGTAAAATAAGATGAAATACTTTTGATGAATATTAGGTCTTGTTCATCAAAGATTATCCTTAGCTGAGATAACATTGAAAACTACAGAGAGCTGACTAGTTACTTCATTCTAGGATTGAAGTTACCACTAGAATTTTCTAATAGTAATAACCTTATCTTAGAGTATACTGACATCAAAAAATGTTATGGTGTACTGACGTACAAATTCATCTCGTTTATTATTCAATTGTCAATATTTTATATTAGTTAACTGATATGTAACTGTGTGGAGTAGACAACGAGTTTCAGTGGATTCAATTAAATCCTCATCGGGCCAGACAAAGACAATACGCAGATGTATCCTAGCACATGTGGTTGACAGTAGTTATGCGGAAGATAAAACCAGATCATTTTGGATTGATTTTTCACATTATCTTCGTCATTTTCCAATGGGGTTCGATCCCATCTCATATAGGAATCCGAACCTACAGCATTGGTTTATGAGTTCAAAAGAAATTCGTGACACTCCTATCCTATTTTCGGACAGATGTCACTTAATAAACGACTTCGTTCATTCTCACATCCCGTATTTGTTTGTCGTTTTTCACCTGTTTCTATTTGTATTCTTCAATATCTAATGATTTCCAGTAAAGGGGTTGTGGAGATTGTTAAGTTTCTGATTGAGATCATGAACCGATTGATGTTAAACCACCGTTGGAAGCTTGGAATTCTCGGAGTTCTAGTGATAAGCCGTGACCAGTGGAGCTAATAAGTGTCGGATAGAGACAGGTATCTACCTCAGTACAATAGAAGATGGTTGCGCAATTTCGTGGGTTGGTTGGTGTTAGACACTAACACCATTGGATGCCGGCTCAGTGGTCCAGTAGGTTAAGCGTTCGCGCGCGAGACTGAATGCCGTGTGTTGGAATCCCGTGAGCGTGATCGTGGATGCGCACTGTTTAGCAGTCCCACAATAGGACGAAACGTCCGTCCACTGCTTCCAGCTTTTCAATGCTGGTCCAACATCAATCGGTTCATGATCTCAATAAAAAATCTAATGACTTGTACACTTCTTACGTAGTTTTAATAATATCTATTTATCCAAGTTTACCTACTTTCCATGTTGCGCTGTCGACTAGGACTTTCGATATATTATTATTATACTTAATGCTACTACTAGTACACATGTTTTCTTACTACCGATTTGTACTTTTTACCTGTTATATGTAGTTATGTAATCTATTTCACTGTGATCCATGTTTCATGATTTGTCTAGATTTGTTTAATAATTTTAGATAAATATTTAATTATGTTACAATAATAGGGATTCATTTCAGAATATAGCTAAACCTCCAATAAACAAGAATAGAATCGTTAGGGAAGATGTATTTGATTAACAGGTTATCAATTATTTCCAAATGAAGTTGTTTTGTTTTTTTAAAGAAAGTATATGATAACACTATTTAAAACATAAGAAATTGAAATGAACTATTTAAAACTAAATAGTATATTTTCTGGATCTTTAATTTAATAGTAAAGGTATTTCATTTTCATTCATTAGGATGTAAATTCGAATCATATTCAACTTAATAAAGTATAAACAGCTATGCAATATCGTCAGACTTAATTTGAAATGCATAGTAGTATAGTTTTGGCCTCTATATTTTTAGGCGGTCTTAGAGTTATATTGAGGTATGGCGAAATGTAAAGGAAGGATGGAGAAAAAACGGTATATTTCATTACACACTTCAGGCAACGTAGACAGAAAACTTACATATACCAACTCTAATGTACTTCACAGTGTATCATATCAGAGTCATATAATTTCTATGGAAGTGGTAAATAAGATTTTAAATATCGCAAAATACAATAACAACAATCAAACGGAATGATAGGGATGGAACAGATGTTTTCCCTAAAATGTAAGTTTTGTGCCCAATGTCGAATTATATTTATTTGAGTATCATCTGTGCAACTATGAGAAGATTCTGATCATAATTCATTAAACTGATCACAAAGATCTTTTCTAAATATCTGGATGGAGTATGAGGGCAGTTATAGATCCCCTGTTGCCCACATCGTGGAACAATAAATGGTTTTAAAAATTTCGTTTAGGTGTGGTCTTGTCAATTCGGAAACTAGAATGAACAATACTTGTTTAGATCAGAGTTGTTTTGCTCGGCTTGCTTACCATAGAGTTGCGTCAGTTAAAACATGCTGATACCTCTTCAATTGAAGTATATTAAGTCATCTCACACGAAAGTAATCTCTTCTGAGTTGATCGGTTTCGACTCCACGAGGAAGAAACCAGTACAACACATTTAGGAGATTCCTACATAAATGTAGGAAATCCGCCAGATATATCAAAAATTCTTTTTTGAGAAGAGATCATAGGTCAATAGAATTTAAACAATACCTGCCAACATTAGGCCAGCTTCTACTCAGTTAGAAGAGTCATGAGAAGAGATCAGCTATGAATTCTCATGCTATCTACAATAAAGTTGAACTACTGATAATATGATAAATGTAAATATTCAGTAAATAAAAGACCACCAAGAAACATATGGATAAGTGATAAGTATGCATATAAGTTATCAAAGTGTATTGGAAAAAAACTTCAAACCTTATCTATTGTTAAAAATTTTCTTCCATTTCTCGACGACAAGCTGCTATGATATCGAATAATGTTTGGATTTTTCTTATGGGGTAGAGAAGTATACAAAGTACTGGATCGTGAAGAAAAATATGGACTCGTTGAACTATCAGTATCCTTAAAAGTTAGATTTGATGTTGTTGTTGTTGTGTCATACGATTCGAGAGTTGTCGTTATTACTTTAGTGTCAACATCAATAGAATTTCGTCGAATCGATGAATAATGATCTGATAATAAACTGTTATTTGTCGAGTCCATAGTCGATAAACTAGATGTATCAAATCGATTCATGCTTAAACTACGCTTTTTCTGTATATCATTATTAGATTGAATAGTTCGACTTAATTGTTTTTGCTGATCCCTTGATTGTATGTGATAGTTGTAACAAACACGTTCATAATTACGAAAACATGTAAATAATTTATGTCTGGCATGAAATTCCATTTCGTACAAAGAGAATAAATTATTCGTTTCTTTGTCGATACATTTTTTTAGCTTTGAAAAAAAAGAAGGTAGAAAAAGAAATTAACTAAAAAGAAGTCAATATGAAATAGCAGTAGTGTAAGAATAAAATGCATTTTGATGAATAGTATGAAAGATTTGTGAAGATAATTCAGCTTTGTAGTTTACATCATGGATTGATCTTAGACAATCATTAGAAATCGTGAAATACTAGGGAGTTGTTTCGTACTAGTATGAAACTCCTCATCAGTTCACATTTAAAAACCGATCACCAGGAATTGAACCCAGGATGTTCAGTTTGACATACAAACACATACCTTTTAGATTCCTGAGCCGGCGACTAACGGTATACAACTTTAAATCTAATCAATACATGGTTGTGTAAATATCGTCTCATAGTACGCGTCATGTAATTAATGAAGCACTTGTTGTTAATAACAATTCGTCCAAAGTAACCTTTCAGTTAAAAAGGAGTAACTTATGTTATTTTTCGACCTGACTTATTTAGCCTGTATTACTCAGTCGGTCGGCAACAACGTAGAACTTCGTATGTACGTACATCAATTCGAGTTGCCACACCACATTAGCACAGAGATACAATTGTCAATTCAAATCCCATAGTGGTAGAGGTAGTAAAAGTATAAGCAGTAATCGGAAACAGTAAGGTTTGAAGATGTTATTCAAAGACACCTATGATCGAATACTAGCAACGTACGAATATCCACTACTCTTACCGACGATGTTTCACAGCCATAAAGTAGGACGAAACGAATTACTGTGCAGTAAACCCGTCCTTTGGTCGATTGACGGATATCTCGCCTACGAATTAATGGCAGTCTATAATAAATACATCAATCAGAGCTTTCACTAATCTATGTTTTTCTTAGTCCCTTTTTGTCATTAAAAATATGTTTTACTGATGACCTTTAGTGTGATTTAAATGATCTAAAGAAGGGAAAGTTTTAATCAATAAGAATATAAGTGATAGAGATTAGTGAAATGTGTTCCATAAATACATACAAAGCATAGCAGTTTAGGTTAACTTCTGGATTCAGAATTAGGAGAGTTAAGTCAGATCTAAAATTTAAGATTAAGAGACCAGTTAGGAATCGAGAGTACTGATTATAAATCGAGTAGACGAATTCTCTGCAGGACCATATTGAGAGATACTTATGGAATTAGTTCTTTGATTAAAAAAAATAATCAAGAACATTCATGTTATCTTAACAAATTCATAAACCATATTCTCATTCTTTAATCTTTTCATTAAATTTAATCATTTTAGTAGCTAAATATTGATAATATTCACCTAGCTTTCATAAAGAAACAAGCTATCATACACTGAATTCTGAATTTGGCGCAAAGATCCAAAAGCGGCCATCTTAAATCTTATTGGTTTCTCAGTATAGTGTATTTATACCATTTATTGTTTCAACATGATACATTTCAAAACGAACTACAAGACAAAATAATTTTTAATGACAACAAAGCCGAAGATTGGTATAGAATAATATGAATTCATTATATTTGATTAGGTTCTTATCAACTGTTTACAACCTAAAAACATTTGAAAATCAACGTTATTACATATATTGACACACTAATATGTACGACGATGATTACAGATGAATAAATGTATCATGATGTAGCGAAGATTTCAATAGAGTTAGTAAAGTCATTAAAAAAGTGTTTGTTTCGGATAAATAAAGTTTGGGAGAGAAAGTTCCAGAACATTGAATATTGTTATTGCAATTCAACGTCTAAAACGAAATCTATGTATACAAAAAAAGAGAGTAATAAATTTTTCTTTGCCGTGGTAACAACATTAACCCACCCCGTTTTTTTTTGTTTGTTACATCATTCATTAATTCAACTCTTTCTGAAGTTTAAATTACATCATTGTCATTTTTCTTTAATTCATATCGTTAACTGAATGATTTCAATTCATATCTTTCATTAATACCGTTAATTTATTTTCAATTGCTTCATTACACAATCATCTAATGTTTGTTAACTTCACGAGTTCTAATTGCTATTTCAATGTTCTGGAACTTTCTCTCTCAAACTTTATTTATTCGAAACAGCCAACCATTTTAATAACCTCATTAACTTCATTGAAATTTTCGCAACATCATGATACACATATTCATCTGTAATCACCTTCGTATGTATAAGTATGTCAATATATGTAATAACATTGATTTTCAAATGTTTTAGGTTATAAACAGTTGACAAGAACTTAATGAAATATAATGAATTCATATTATTCTGCATCAATCTTTGTTCTTACTATCTTTAAGGTAATAAAGGGAACTATGTGCATGAAATTTCATCAAATAATTCATCGATATGATACAATATGATAGGAATGTGAACAAATGCCCTAATACGGCTGAGAGTGGGGAGAGTCCGCTCTCCCACTCGAAATGCTCTCATATAGTCATGCATATATATATATATATATATATATATATATATATATCTGGTGCCTCCTTGTACCAGTACTTATGTGTTGAAACAAAACAAACATGATCTCAACCATTGAAATGACTATAATATCCATATAAAAAACTCTTCAAATATTAAAAAGTTTAATGTTTCTAACCGAGAAAACAAAAACGTACAACATATCAGATATGAATATAGAAGAGTAATACTTACTGACTTTTTATTCTTTTTATATATTTCAATTAAATTATTCAATGGTTTAATTAAATCATTTAATAAATTTTGAACAAATTTTTCATGTAATTTTGATTCTATTTCAAAAGCATTAGCTATTCGTAACCAAGCTGTATGAACTGTGCTATAAAAATAATAAAGAATGTCTAATAGACAATTTTGTTTTTAAAGGTATGCATTCTAAAGATTAACAACAAATGCAGGTGAAGACGACCAGTGTAGCTGCATCCTCAGCAGCAGTAGGTCTCTTAACATACATAAACGGAAAAGCAAGATTCTCCGATACAACACAGCATGCAACAATCTAGTCACACTTGACGGAGAAGATTTGGAAGATGTGAAACCCTTTACATATCTGGGCAGCATCATTGATGAACAAGGTGGATCTAATGCAGAATTGAAGGCGCGGATCGGCAAAGCAAGAGCAGCATATTTACTAATGAGGAACATCTGGGACTCAAAACAAATGCCAACCAACAACAAGGTCAGAATTTTTAATTCAAATGTCAAGACAGTTATGCTGCATGGGGCGGAAAACTGGAGAACTACGAAAGTCATCATACCAAAAACACAACTGTTTATTGACAGCTATCTAGAAAAAATACTTTGGATGCGTTCGATAGACACTATCAGCGAAAACGAGTATGAATGAGTGTTCGGATATTCAGAAAAATATCCCGAAAATTGTCCTGTTGAGTCTAATGCTATCCTTGAACGTGAAATCGTATCGTTTATTATTGGTCAATATTCACGGTAGTCCTAACTGTATAAATATGCATTTGTCTGTAAAGTATTATTCTTATTTTTCTTCTGACCCTATAAACAGTTTTCGTCTACCGTTCGTGTTCTGATATATTGGAGATTGGGGAACAGTATTGGGGTCGTACTGGGATATCTGAAGTTGGTCAGTCGGTAGAAATTAGAGTAGCCACCCCGCGGTCCACAATAATTTGGTGACGGAGATTTAGCAAGCAAGTTGGTGACTAACTATGGATCCAGCCAAATTAGAAAAATTGTTCGAACAACATCTGAAGCTGATGGAGATGATTACTCAGGCGCACATATCTTCTCGAGTCCCAATTACACCGACAATCCCTCGATCAAATGATGGTATTACCAGTGGCATTTCAGCATTTCTTTATGATCCTGATGCCAATATTACATTTGATACTTGGTTTAGGCATTATGAAAACCTTTTCAAAGTTGACTTTGCTGACAGAGATGATTCGTGGAAGGTGCGTCTTCTCCTTCGGAAACTTGGTCCATCCGAGATGGACAAGTATTGCAACTTCATTCTACCGCAGAACCCACGCGACCGTTCCTTCGACGCCACTATTCAATCTCTTAGCCAAATTTTTGGTGATCATCATTCACTTTTCAATACTCGATATCGCTGCTTTAAATTGGTCATAAATGAGTCCGATGACTTCTTGACCCACGTCGGCGTTGTCAACCGTGAGTGCCAACGGTTCAAGCCCAGATCCCTCACTGAAGACCAATTCAAGTCCCTAGTACTCATATGCAGTCTTCAATCACCCAAATTCTCTGATATTAGAACTCGGTTGCTTAACCGCCTTGAACAAGACCCAACACTGACACTCAATGCGATCATAGACGAGTACCAACACATCACCAATCTGCAGTATGACACCACTTTGGTTCAGTCTGAGGGCCAGGGTGGTTCCGAAGTTCATGCTGTTTAGCACCAGAAAAAAATCTTCGAGATCTACAACCTCGAGTCCTTCGAACGCCAGCGCTGTTTTTGTCTCTAATCACTCCAAACCGTCTCAGAAGAAGCCCCCCTCGCCATGTTGGCACTGTGGAGCCTGGCATTATGTGAAGTTTTGTCCATTCAAACAGCATGTGTGCGGTCGTTGCAAATCCAACCGATCCAATAACATCGAAATGCACAGACGCAGCGTAATTTTCCCGAAAAACCGATTACCACATCAAGGAGTTTAGCAGCAATCTCCCACAATCATGCTGCGACTCGACGCACATTTCTGACTCGCTCAATCAATGGTCAGCCAGTTCGGTTGCAGTTGGATACTGCATCAGATATCACTATTCTGTCGAAAAAGACTTGGCGAACCTTGGGCCAACCTCCCATCAAACCATCCTCTCAGACAGCCGTCGGTGCCTGTGGGGGTCATCTCCGCCTTCATGGTGAACTCTATTGCTGAATTTCATTCAGAGGTAAAACCTTCAATGGGACGTGCTACATCACCAATTCTCCGCTCAACCTTCTAGGTTTAGATTGGTTTGAAGAACTTGGTCTCTCTGATCATCCCATTAGCGCTATCTGCAATCAAGTACAAACTACTGCCTCTACACAACGGCATGCTGCAGACTTCGAAAACGATTTATTGAACTCTCAGCCTGGTCTCGGACTTTGTTCCACGACGGAAGCTGTTTTAAGACTGCAGCCAGAAGCTACGCCAGTTTTTCGCCCAAAACGTCTAGTTCCGTACGCATCTCTACCTCTGGTTGACGCTGAACTTCAACGTTTGGAAACTGAGGGTGTTCTAGTACTTGTTTCTTATTGATCATGGGCTGCACCAATTGTGGTTGCAAACAAATCCAATGGTTTCATACGCATCTGTGCAGACATTTCCATAGGACTCAACGCGGCTCTACAACAGCATCACTATCCGCTGCCGATCCCAGATGACTTATTTACTATTTTAAATGGTGGTACCTACTTTGCTAAGCTGGATCTGGCGGATGCTTACTTCCAAATTCTAGTTGCTCTAGAATCGAGAGAGTTGTTGACAATCAAAACTCACCGAGGACTTTTTCAGTATACCCGGTTACCCTTTGGTATCAAAACTGCTCCATCGATCTTCAAGCAGATCATGGATACTATTCTGGTAGATGCTCCTGGTGTTGCTACTTACCTTGACGATGTCCTCATTGTCGACTCAACTGCTGATGAATTACATACCAGAATCCACTTAGTTCTACATTGCCTAGAGAATAATGGCTTTCGCCTTCGCCCAGAAAAATGCCAGTTCTTCTTACACTCGAGAGCGACTAGCAAGGAGCATCTACCAGAATATATCCATGATCTGCTTGAAGATCGATGGAGCAGTTTTGATACCAAAGGGTAACGGTATACTGAAAAAGTCCTCGGTGAGTTTTGATTGTCAACAACCTCTCGATTCTAGAGCAACTAGAATTTCAAAGTAAGCATCCGCCAGATCCAGCTTAGCAAGGTAGGTACCACCATTTAAAATAGTAAATAAGTCATCTGGGATCGGCAGCGGATAGTGATGCTGTTGTAGAGCCGCGTTGAGTCCTATGGAAATGTCTGCACAGATGCGTATGAAACCATTGGATTTGTTTGCAACCACAATTGGTGCAGCCCATGATCAATAAGAAACAAGTACTAGAACACCCTCAGTTTCCAAACGTTGAAGTTCAGCGTCAACCAGAGGTAGAGATGCGTACGGAACTAGACGTTTTGGGCGAAAAACTGGCGTAGCTTCTGGCTGCAGTCTTAAAACAGCTTCCGTCGTGGAACAAAGTCCGAGACCAGGCTGAGAGTTCAATAAATCGTTTTCGAAGGTCTGCAGCATGCTGTTGTGTAGAGGCAGTAGTTTGTACTTGATTGCAGATAGCGCTAATGGGATGATCAGAGAGACCAAGTTCTTCAAACCAATCTAAACCTAGAAGGTTGAGCGGAGAATTGGCGATGTAGCACGTCCCATTGAAGGTTTTACCTCTGAATGAAATTCAGCAATAGAGTTCACCATGAAGGCGGAGATGACCCCCACAGGCACCGACGGTTGTCTGAGAGGATGGTTTGATGGGAGGTTGGCCCAAGGTTCGCCAAGTCTTTTTCGACAGAATAGTGATATCTGATGCAGTATCCAACTGCAACCGAACTGGCTGACCATTGATTGAGCGAGTCAGAAATGTGCGTCGAGTCGCAGCATGATTGTGGGAGATTGCTGCTAAACTCCTTGATGTGGTAATCGGTTTTTCGGGAAAATTACGCCGCGTCTGTGCATTTCGATGTTTATTGGATCGGTTGGATTTGCAACGACCGCACACATGCTGTTTGAATGGACAAAACTTCACATAATGCCAGGCTCCACAGTGCCAACATGGCGAGGGGGGCTTCTTCTGAGACGGTTTGGAGTGATTAGAGACAGAAACAGCGCTGGCGTTCGAAGGACTCGAGGTTGTAGATCTCGAAGATTTTTTTCTGGTGCTAAACAGCATGAACTTCGGAACCACCCTGGCCCTCAGACTGAACCAAAGTGGTGTCACACTGCAGATTGGTGATGTGTTGGTACTCGTCTATGATCGCATTGAGTGTCAGTGTTGGGTCTTGTTCAAGGCGGTTAAGCAACCGAGTTCTAATATCAGAGAATTTGGGTGATTGAAGACTGCATATGAGTACTAGGGACTTGAATTGGTCTTCAGTGAGGGATCTGGGCTTGAACCGTTGGCACTCACGGTTGACAACGCCGACGTGGGTCAAGAAGTCATCGGACTCATTTATGACCAATTTAAAGCAGCGATATCGAGTATTGAAAAGTGAATGATGATCACCAAAAATTTGGCTAAGAGATTGAATAGTGGCGTCAAAGGAACGGTCGCGTGGGTTCTGCGGTAGAATGAAGTTGCAATACTTGTCCATTTCGGATGGACCAAGTTTCCGAAGGAGAAGACGCACCTTCCACGAATCATCTCTGTCAGCAAAGTTAACTTTGAAAAGGTCTTCGTAATGCCTAAACCAAGAATCAAATGTAATATTGGCATCAGGATCATAAAGAAATGCTGAAATGCCACTGGTAACACCATCACTGATCGAGGGATTGTCGGTGTAATTGGGACTCGAGAAGATATGTGCACCTGAGTAATCATCTCCATCAGCTTCAGATGTTGTTCGAACAATTTTTCTAATTTGGCTGGATCCATAGTTAGTCACCAACTTGCTTGCTAAATCTCCGTCACCAAATTATTGTGGACCGCGGGGTGGCTACTCTAATTTCTACCGACTGACCAACTTCAGATATCCCAGTACGACCCCAATACTGTTCCCCAATCTCCAATATATCAGAACACGAACGGTAGACGAAAACTGTTTATAGGGTCAGAAGAAGAATAAGAATAATACTTTACAGACAAATGCATATTTATACAGTTAGGACTACCGTGAATATTGACCAATAATAATACGACACGATTTCACGTTCAAGGATAGCATTAGACTCAACAGGACAATTTTCGGGATATTTTTCTGAATATCCCAGCAGACGCACATTGAGGAAAGCATCCAACTGCGTTACAAGGCAAGCCGTGATCATGTGAAATCGTCAGGGCGAAATGAAAGGAGGAAGACCAAAGAACACATTACGTCGAGAAATGGAGACAGAAATGATTACAGTGAACAAAAATTGGATAGAACTGGAAAGGAAGGCCGAGGACATAGTGGGTTGGAGAATGCTCGTCGGCGGCTTATGCTCTATCGGGTGTAACGGGTGTAAAGTAAGTAACCATTTTGAAGATAAAGATTGTACATTTAAGAGAAAAAAAGAACCAACTGTTCATGTGTTATGTGAATAAGTCTTAACATAAAAATCTGAGAGTTCATTTTAAAAATTGATGTTACTAGAACGAATTCCCCAATATGCGTCGACTGGATAATCACAATAAGTAAACCCGACCACTATGTCAAACTGGCAGAAATGGTTGATAATGTTAAAATTCCAGCACTACCTGACTTTTAATGGTTTTTTAGATGTCAGTTTGTTGGAAATGTGTAGTCTCTAAATACAACATACAGTGAAGTAAATCAATCTTGATTTTACATATCAATTTAAGGTTATTTTCATTCGCTCAATTTTAACGCCTTTTGTTAAACAAATTATTTAGAATAATCCACATTCTTTAAATTTTAGTATATTCCAGTCGTGGAAATTATTCAATCCATAAATTTTAATAATTGTAACTGCAATATGAATAATGATTCTTTTGAGAACTCCATCAATAAAGTTTTCATACAGAAAGTAGACTTTTCATTCTAGTTAACAGATCAGAGAAGAAGAAGAAGAAGAAACAAGTCTCATTCATTTTACTGAAGTTGCGAAGTAGTGAATTAGCGCATAAACATTATATATATAATGTGACGTGTGTTGTCTGACAGTTGATACTGATATGCAATCTGTCTATACACGAGACCAACTAGCTATTCGTGTTAAAAGACTGAGAGTGAGAAAGTCTACTAATTAATCGAATCTACATATATGTATAATCAGATATATATTGACACATATCCTTTAAAACGATTAAGCCACTATTGGTGTATATTCCACCCTTTGAAAATGTGTTGTTGTCCCAAAAAAATCTAACGCCAAAGATCCTGGAGGCCAGAAACGCCAGGAAACGTTTTATTCTATCAGTGTTGAATAGAACCTTTGCAAACAAAATCTACAAAAAGCAAAATTATGGGCCACTATTTTGATTACACATTTACTTATACTGCTAATATGTCTAATGTCGCGTGCGATTCTATAAATACCCTCGTTTTCTATAAATAAAAGAACCTAAGAGAAAAGCTTTTAGTCGAACTTCGAGCCTGCACTCTAGCGCTCCAGTTGACGCGTAGTAGTTGGGGATATCGAAACCGGCTAGGAAAACAGCTTTGGTGTGTCGATAGCAAAACTTAATAAAATGAAAACCATTTCACAGCCAATCTCGAGTATTTATTATCTGGCGGATTTTTAATCGACTGAATGGATCAATATCGTATTCTGGAAGCGACATGCTGAAGAACTATTTAAATTTCATAGTACTAAGCTGTGTGTGGTATTTGAAAAACAGAATGGTACCATATGGTTTTACACAGATTACTTTGTATCTAATATGTTTTATTTTCGTAGATGGTAGTGATTAAGAAAAATTACTGTACTGCCAAGGATGTGCGAGCTTGATTAAAATCATCATTTATATTTTGTTTATTGCCTAGTGTACTGGTCACATAAAATCCTAGCGTCTCCAATTACATCATATAATAAACAAATCATTCTTCATAATAGGTGAAAAACTTTTAATTTCAAGTATATTTTTATACAAAAATTACTGGATGTAGTACAACTGAAGTCTGGCTATCAGCCATTTATCTGAAGAACTGACTACAGAAAGAGCGGATAAACTCGGAAGTCAAAAGTTTGAACTCAGGCGAGAAACTAAGGTATCCTGTACAACAGCAAATATCATACACAAGTGACTATAAGACATAATTCAGCATATACAACTGATCATTATCTTTTAAATGTTCATAATTGTAAATGTCTGAAGAAAGCAAAATGGTTGTTAATTGTATTTTTGAAAAACTTACCCACCCGTTGTTTTTGCCAGAGCATCACGTAAACGACCACTTAATCCTGATAGACCTCGTGAATAATTCGACTGAAGTTCACATCTATTCTCCAAAAATACGATTAGAAAAATTGTACATGAGGGTATCCCGATGGTGAGAAAATAGTTTTATCATCCGGAAATACCTCTGAATAGTTAAACTGCGTAATATTTTTCATCATTTACAAACCACTAGAACGTTGATGTAGGTTATAAACCAGAGCTATTTGTACTTTCGATGGTGTTTTTGAACAATTGTTCGAGTATTTTGGGACCACTGAGTGAGGAATGATGAGGTTAGACAAAAAGTACTAGGTAAATATGGCGAATCGACTTATGGGGCAGTGGATCTTTGTCGACTGAGATCGTTAAGGAATTTACTAGGTATCTCCATTCAGTGGCTGCCTAGATGAGAGGTGATGTCTGATGTAAGAAAGTTAGCGATCCATGATACACTGCGTCAATCAAAAGTCACCAAATAAGAAAGTCGCGTTGCGGGAATCCAAAATCTAATAACAAGTGCATATTATTGGCCAAGAAATGATTTTATTTTCTAATGAGCAGACATATATATTCATCTACTTAGTTCAGTTTAGCTCAATAAACTTTCTCCTTCACTTGAACACCGTGAGTCATAAAAATGCCTGAACTAAAACGCAACATCCGTCTATGAAAACTGACTGTCCAACACAACCATGTAGATAGGCGCAGACGACCTGGTTGGGATTTGTGTGATTATCGTAACCAATTATCACAGACTGAGTGACATGGATTGAAATCAGTCACAGTTGTGCAGATATTTTTACTTTTTATCTTCTCTTAAACTCCAAGGTTCTAAATTACCATGTAAATTATTTTGTATTCTACGAATTGATATTTTCCTCTCGAATCAAATCTTTGTCTAATCTTTTATATTACTACTACTATGGTTACTAAATCTACTTCCTTAGAATTCGACCTGACAATTACATTTGGTTGTCCTAATGGAGTATAGCAAACTGAATCGACGTACAAACGTGTCAGGTTTTACGGCCCCTATAACTGGCTGACTGACTGATGAATATGTGGTATACTTTGAAAAATTTTTGCGAAAACAAACGTGATATTCACATGCATTAATTTAGAAACAATCATAATAAATAATTTTTATTTCAATAATAACTTTTCGTATTTGATGGTGACAAAGCAAACAAAACAATGCAGTAGTATGTGACTAGGCTTTAAGTAAATACTTTTTGGAAAGAATATTAATGAACAATTAACCATTAGAAACCAATGAGCTTTTGGATGGGTGTTTAAGGTCCACTTTGGTAATTGAATAAGATTGAACACATAATAGAATGATATTATTGATTTAATTAGTTATAATCTACGCTTTCCACTTCATTCTACTTAAATGTAGTGCAATCTTAATTACTGTCATTGAAGTTGTAACTTTATCTCAATTCTAATCGACTCGATAAATGGTCTTTTCTAATTAAAACTGAAAAATTCAGTATAAGCCATACACCAATATTTATCTAGGTGGCCTATGGAGACTTCGCAAGCTTGGAAGTATTTTTATACACATTGACAAACACAAAACGTGGATACGAATTGAGACCACTTATATAGATGTCAGATGGAACTAAAAATTAGGCAGTATCGTTATTGTAATAAGAAACAGAAATTTCCTAATCAGAACGCTTAAAGGCGGTGTACGCAAGGAAAAACTAATGACTTAGTTCGCTGATATAGGAATTGTTTGGCAAGCTACTACATAGTATAGACAACTGTGTGGAAATATGTTTATTACGCAAGTTAGCATGTGAACATGTGCGGATATACAATGAAGTGATACTGAGTCAGCGATGCCGCTGTTCTGAAAAATTAATCTTTAGAAAAAACCGTCATCTATGAGTAGTCTACGTCGAAATGGATGTTTCTTTCTTCAATAAAACAACCAAGTGAAGGATGGTGGGAAAGAAGATAGGGTACCGAAGAAATTGATTACTGAGGTTGTAGTAGCTGGAAGATTTGTTACGTATTTCCAACCACCCCTACCTCAACAAGCAGTGCTGACTGAAGTAATGGTGAGTTGAAACATGCACATTCTTACCACGCTTACGGTGATTATGATTGACTGACGCCAGAATATTTTAAAACCTAGAACAGTAGTTCAAAAGTAGGTTACGAAGGTCATTTGAACCTGTATATAGGCTGCAAACCATACACGAAAGTAGAATCATAGAGAACTTACTTCTCTTGGAATATACTCATCACAGACTGAGTAAGATACATTCCTTGTTTGTACTCTTCATATTGTTTATCGAATCCACTTCGATTCTTGTGAAAAAAATGGAAAGTGTGCTGATAAACACATATCATAAATACAATGGCTTGTTTACTGGCACTGTAAATCATAATGTCAATGACATTATTAATGTGGTTAACAAGGAAAACAGATCAGCGTAAGAGGCTTCACTAACTTTTAATAATCGCACGGGAAAGAGATAAAGGCCAGAACGAAGTAATAATCTAACTTCACAACTATAGAAATCTTATTGCTTCATTTAAATTGCTCTTTGAGATAATCTACGCCTCACAGAATTCGAAACTAATTTCGAAACCGAATTTCATGCTATTTACGAGTGAATTCGTACAATAATTATTATAAATGTGGACCGTTTTACTGCAATTTTAGTTTGAAATCGAATTAATATCAAGTCAAAATCTTAATGTCGTATAAATGTGTTCAATCGTATATAATAAGGTTCATTGATGGTTTCCGTATGCGAAAACTGAAATCCCAATACGTATTCAGTCTGTTCTTATCGTTAACCCACCCTGGTTTATTAAATTGTGACCAAGTATGCATCACTTCAGCGTGGTGATATTTCGAAGCGCAAACCATATTTCTGCTGTTAACATGTGAACTCCGTTTCAATGATCGTAGCAGTAAGTAAATAAGTGATTCCATATTTCCAATTTAGATCAGATTTAACCTAAACTGTTCTAAGTCGGTTAAAAAACAAACCCCCTGCAATACATTGTGACCGGCTAATCATTTGAGCTGATAAATATAGAAATGTAAGTAGTTATATGGGGAAACAGAAATGTCTGGATGATGTCCTAGTCGATATTTTCAGTTTGCTTATTGCTAAGGATTCGTGGCCAAACAGGGAAAAAACGTGCGACAAAGAGATCAGAAGACAAGATTAGATGTTTCCTTTCTTTTCTCTATTTAGCTACAATGCATTGTAGTTAAATAGAAACCAATGATTTCTGTTTAATCATAGTAAAACTCCTACTGGTGGCAAAAAAGTCACGTGACCCCGCGATTCAGGATAGTTCTACAATGCTTATTAAACCTAATATTCCGAAAAGAATTTAAATGAATAATAAATTATGCGCAGTTGAAGTGCGCTCTGTGTTGGTAGGGCTCATGTCTAACATTATAACTTATTGCAAGGGAAGGACCGAAAAACATGCGACTGAAAATTGCTTACTAGAATGTCAAATGGGCGATTAGTGTTCATGAACATATGTAACAAATTTCGAACTTGGAGCTATGACATCCGCGGCGTGAAGTATCTCTGAAGGTCAAAGTAGTTTCAGTTTTTGTAGAGAGAGCTCGTACAAATCAATTGATGTGTTTCTTGCTGTTTCGGTAAGGTTTTAAGTATTTCAGTGAATGTCTGTCAATTCATTCTACCGCACTAATCCTAGTCAGATTGGTAGCCATTTGTGGGTTGGTATATCTTGTAGTTTGAGTGGGTGTGTTCTACTCATAGCTGCATGGTATTTGAATGCCAGTGGCTATCACATTACCAGCGAGGAGATTGGTTGATTGCAATCTGAGAGTAATGAGTGCTAAGAGAAGACGATTGTTTCGAGAACCTATAAATAAATGAGCTCATGTGCTTAAAATGCAGACAGTGTGAGAAGATTGCAGTGTAAGAATAAAAGGGAAACGGAGATGATGTTAAGGGAGATAGGAAGTAACTATTGATAGCTGTGTTCATTTGTGGGATATGCATGAGACACAGTTGATCAGGAGGAAATTCGCAATACATGAGTGAGTATGTGTTTGTAAATTCTCTTCTGAAATCTGTCAACTGAGCAATCTGTTGTAGCGGTAAATAAATCCCCAAAATAAATAGCTCTGTAAGTTTTCGACATTGGATGGTGACCATATGTTTTAGTGGACTCATCTAGCTGAAGGCGCTCGGTCATGCATCCGCACCAGATCAGGTGTGGTAATGCTGTGCTCAACATCTACCTCAATCGCTAGCCAGATTAGGTAAGAGAATTCCGATATATTGGTTATCGCCAAATACACTCTCCCGATCTCTTCGACTCTGTCTTTTGATTTCTCTTGGTAGGTACGAATTATATTATAAGGTGTTGCTGGTAAAAGCGTTGTCAGAGACCGAATACCTGTGCCATCATCATTGGTGAGACCAACATGATCTGGTACACCTAATTGCAACTGTGAGTCTGTTCCTTTTTGGGGTTTATATATTATTGCCTTATTTTTATTTTTTATACATTGTGATCTTTTTTCCCCGTGTCTCAGGATATCAATATATTTTTCCCTCGTATTCTCGTACTTAATATTCCCCTATGACCGAATAGACTCCTAAGGTATTTAAGATAGAGATCATGTCCCCATCCTTGTTCCAACTCATGCCCTAACCGATCGACAAAAGTTAGATCAACTCTCTAATACCTGTGCCATCTTCATTGTGTTCATTTCATCTGGGAGGGTATTTCAAATAGGGACAACTCTTATTCAGAAAACGTGTGAGTGTGTGGTGGACCAGAGAGATATGAACGCGAAAAGTATCAACAAAGTTACTAAAGATCAATAGTAATATTAATATATACCAGTTAATTGCTACAAATACAGTAAAAATTTGGGACGTCACTTAAATTAACCAAATGTTGCGTGTCCTGATTAGGTGCGGTATTGTAAATCCACAATTGTAAATGCTTGGTAATTCTGACCGGGTTGACGAACTCTCCGGTGATGTAATCCAACGTATGATGTGATATATTCCAATTACAGTCTATTAATGTAGATAGTATTTGATTTAGACTACAGTTAACTCAATCACAAACAAAGATAGAACGAGGAGCGTGTGAGTAGTGGTGTATTTGTTAGCCAGCAAGAGCATGTCACGCTATGTGAGTATCACAACGGAAAGTGTGTTCAAGGTCATTTACTAAAACAACTCGTACTGTCATTTTATGATAAATGTACATACAGTGAGAAATTGACAAAGTAAATACAAGTACTATTAAAAAAATACTTACAAAATAAGCTTATCAGTCATATCTCCGCAAGTGTATCTAGGTGTTCCCTCTTCGATGTGCAAGATCCCATCGGCTATGTCGACGAGGGTGACAGTGACATTCTGTCAGGATACTCGTAGTTAGGTGGTTTGAAGTTTCTATCTGTGTTGTATGTCATTATCAGATTACTTCTAGCTCAACAAGAATAACCTCAGCTCTTGGAATCCGTCCTAGTAATATTCGTATTTTAGTCATTTCAAACACTTGTTTGCTCGTCTCTGCGGTTGAGTCGAGTTGTCTTGGTGTAAAATGAAGCGTTACCTTTACCTTGGCTTAACGTTGTACGTAGTTTGAGCTCACATCCACGCCCTTTGTGGTTATTAGCAGAAAAACAGGCTCTGAGGAGACAATCGGGAGTGGATTTTCATGGAGGACGTTATTTATTTGTGTCAAATGGAGCTGAATGCTTATAATATGATATTTTGACAAGGTAAGTTTTGAGCCATTGTCTACGGTCCATTCTTCTGTTGCCGTAAGTTCTGTTTGAAGCTCAAGTGAATACTCTTCGCTTTTTATCGAAATCCGAGTATATGCGCCATCTGAGAAGTTCAGTGCCCTCGAGTTAATATGTCTAACGTATCCTTAATAAAAATCCGGTATATTGTGAGACTCATGATGTTGAAACTCTATATTCTCTCTATTTATCTTGGTACAAAACATCATGTGCTGAAAGTAGTTCCAGTGTCAGAATTATAGTGTGTCAGTAAAATCCGCCTTGTTATGAGAATTTTAGAGATATTGTTTAAAAGGCTTTCGCGAATTCGAGAAATATAGCATAAACCGGTATCTTATAGTTCGAGCAGATCGGTCAGATTTCTTACGCTTTGAGTAGAGTGGCCACATCAGACCACACTTTTCTGAATATGCTTTAGGCTTCGTGATGTCTTTTCACCCATGCATTCATTGATGAGCCCGTCATTACCTTCGAGAGTATTGGGAATAATGAGACTGGCACTTTACTGGATGGGTATTTTCCATATCTTTTTTAAGGATTGGAGAGAGATTCCTGCTTCTTCTCACTTGGGAGTTGGTATGATTCTAGTGAGGTCTTGAACAGGTCGCGGATTAGTGTTATGATGTCTTCCGCGCACTGATTTAGGATTATAGATCGGATATTGTCACTTCCCGGTGACGTTCTTGGGTTCAGGGACCTAAGTCTCTTTAATACTGACCCTAGATTTGGTCAGATGTCTCCCAGATCCTCAACCGGCACTTCAGTTGAGAGGTGTTCTGCAGTGGCGGTTGATTTAAGAAGTTAACATCAGAGATCTGGTCTTTAGTCTGTCGAAATATCTAGGGTTAGCCTGAATTTTATCTGTTAGCTTGGCCTGAAAACTTCTCATATCACAGTGGAACTTCTTTATGCATATGTTTTTCAATGAAAAATAGGAGCTCTGATCCGAACCCTTCATTTGCGCCAGGTTCTCTGTTTGGTCAGTAGCAAGCGTCCTGTGTCTCGTTTATCCCGGTGTCTTCGCTTACCGATTGTGTGTTTTACCTCAGGTACATTGTCTTCGATAAGATTCTGCATGACTTCTATCACTGTTTCCCACTGCTCATCCACCGATGGCCTTCACCACCATCGTGGCCACGAAGCGTGCTGAAGACGTTCACTCGCCGTCGTGTAGCCTGCTTCAGTTGGCCAACTTAAGGATAATTCTTGTCTCTCCGAAGCATTTCGTTTATGGTCACTCTAAACATGACTACATCTTTGTTACTTCATCCTACTCGTGCGTGGACATAGACATCCTCAACTATAAACTGATCAGTTATCAGTAAATAACTGAAGTTTGAGTTTTTCGTACTTGTCTCACTTTGTGATGCAGCCCATATCTTCATTCATTCTTTAACCTTTAGTGGCTGCGGCAAGATGCTTATGTAACCTTTCTGCGAGGGTTGTGTCCTATCTGTTGAGATTTAGAGATAGGGCGTTGAAGTTATAAGTTGGTAGTACGTGGTCAAACCCCCTGTATACTATATTTGGTACCCATGTATTATCTCATCGTTTCGGTAGTTAGGGCCAATGAGAGGTCGACATATCTCTTCCATCAATTACACTGTGCTGTTTACATTCAATGATTATATCGCCTTGACCAATTCAGTGTTATGGCTTTGGAGTGACTGTACGTCGTCAATCCACCTGTTTTGTGGACCCTATCTTATCAGAATCGTGCTACACCTTGCAACCTCACTTCTCTTCTGTAGTAGTCTACAATACAGGTAGTTTAGGACGCCTTTTTCTCTTATTTATTTCGTGCTAATTGTTATGACTAGGAGTTGGAACCTGGGTCGGAGTTTGATCTCGGTTACTAAATTGGATATTTGGTTCTGCTGTCTGAGTTGAGTGATCCGTTTTGCAGGCATTACTTGAAGACTCCTTAACCAGTGTTGTCTTGAATTTTCTTATGATCCTTTTGCCGGGATCAGGGATGTTTAATGTGTTGACCTCTTAACAGACACAACTACCTCCACTAGTCGTCCTTGTAAGTTATACTGTAAGTACTGATGGCAACGCTATTACTGCGTATGCTTCTCAATGAACTTAAGGTGAAATGTTAGACAGCTTAAGAAGTGAGATAAAAGTTTCGAGAGAGAAAAACAATATAAACAAGTGAGTATACGCCACAAGAGAATGGGAACTGAAAGACACAAAAATCTGTGACGTTGCATTTGGTCATTCTAATAAGCAGATTTGCACGGATCCTCTAACGCAATCACACATCCTGTGTTGAGAAGTAGATGCATGTAGGTTTCTGTTGAAGGAACTGAGAAGAGAGCGGTCGACCGAGTTCACCAGCACTACAGCACCGTGAGTTATCCCTGATATAATTGTGGCTGTAGAATCTGCTTTGATGACCTCTACCAGCATGTCGAAGGTGCACCATGTGTTCTTCGAGGTGCTGAAATATTCCAATACGGTTGTAGGAAAGTGGATATTTCCTATTACTAGCGAGAAATCAACGAGGTCACATCAGACTCCAATTATATCAGACACTTGTAGCCCAATCAGCTTTGGATCTAAAATGGGAAAACGTGGAAGGTAAACAGTGGTCAGGGCAAATAAGTTAATTGATTGGATAAATAGATGAATAAAATTTTATCAACAATTATTGATTGAGGATGACAAGAAGCGAAATGAGTGAGATAGTTTATCAACAGTAGTAGCGGGTAGATTGCGAGAAATTCTTCAAACTAAGCGAACATTTGCTTAATGTTTCCTATTATTTGATAGGAGTAAAATATGACAAATCTTGAGTGCGTTCATTGTTGCCA